ATGAATCCTCTTTCTGGGTATTAGATAATGATTCATTTGATTCTCTCAATGATTCATTTGATGTTTCGAACAAACATGAACGAAGCGAATATTTCGGTGAATTTGCTTTGTTGAATTTTCTTTATTGAATTGTCTGTCCACTTATACGTAACTGGGGTAAGTGTATTTATCTACCATCGTTCATGGATTTTATCTTGTAATAGAGCTGTGGTCTATTAATATTTGTGAAAGATATTACTATAACAAATTTCTAATACATAAACAAGCTACCAGAACGTTAACATTCATGTTTCATTCAAGATCAAAAGATGATATAATACAGCTAGATTAGCGTAAAAATTGATTAACATTTTTGTTATCGTGACGTTTATTCTTCGTCTCGTTTATTTTGTTTGCATAAATTTATTATATATCAAAGTTGTTTTCTACATAAGAACATATATTGATAACTAAAAGCATTGATTTAATAATTTATGATAAAAATCCAGAAATTAGCCTGCGTGCGCCCTGTCATGGAATATATGAGCGTGGACGCACTTGGTGACCAAACAAACGGGCTACTATGGTTACTATAACTAATGAAATACATTGCAGATATTCACACTATAAGTAATTTTCTTAGAAATCAAACATTGGCGAATATAGTCTTTAAAGGTTCCGAGACGATCGTCTGTGACTAAATTCACCACTAAAACTAGACATTAGGATACTGATAAATTCAAGTCACCGAATTTAGTCTTGAGTTTTTTAGGTTGAGTTTTGTCGCCAATTTTTTTGGTTTTTTTTCTCAATTTGGTGACTGTGACTGGCCAACAATGCACACACAATTTTATGATACGATAAATATGGATTTCTTATCATATGATAATTCTTATTTCTACCGAGCTTGTATATCAAATATTATCATTTAAACGACAGGAGGAGATTAGAAAGATAGATTAGAAAGATTGAGAGGACCGAAGAAAAATATTTTTGAAAAGAAAAATAATTTAGATAACATAATAAATATATTAAGATTATAGACATAAAGACAACAAACTTATCGATCTTAAATTAAAATTATTATTATCGATCTTATTATTAATGTGCTTGTGCTATGACGTGGTTCATTAAAGCAATAAAAATTTAAATTTATAAGTAAGTATGTACGTAATATCAAAAACAAGAGTAACAATAATCTATTCATTCTACGCTCTCTATTTTGCGTAAAACAATGGCAACTTACTTTCGACCGCTGCCAGTCGGATATCTTTCGATAAATATATTAATCACTTTTTCGTTTCCTCTTCTTTCTTACTCTCAGTAGATATATTCTTACTCTTTTTCTTAAATACTTAAAAAAAATTAAAATTAATTAAAAATTAAAAAAATTAAAGACGACAAAAAGTTGAAAATCGTTAAATACATTTAAAAACTATTCTCAAAAGTAAAAAGAAAGAATTCAAAAAATCGTTTATATTTTCGAGGCTGTTAAGAAGAATATCTTGTATTTGAATAAAGTAGAAAATATTATTATATAATATATATTTTATTAAAATATATATATATATTATATATAATTATTAAATATGTATTATTATTATATTAGGTGGACTGGAAAGTAATATCATTTCTGCGCATATCGATATTTGATTGTGATTAAAAATAAAAACTTGTTAAAAATTTATTCGTTTGAATTTAATTTAAGAAAGCGACATTACTTTCCGGTCCCCCTAATATATATTAAAGTATACTATTATTGAAAACCAAATAGAAAATATTAATTGGCATTTATCTGAATTCTTTATTTTCAAAACTTCTTTTCGTGTTCTTTCCATCGCATTATGAAAATTTATCCTTTGTTATACGCATAATAAGACCGGTCAATTTTGTTATTCCTTATGAAAATCAAATATGTGCCTTTTCTTTTATATCCAACGAATGTTAGCCCTTTCTAACCTTTCAAATTGCTCGTTCTAAAGCCGACTATATGTCTTCGCAAAATTGTCTTCGAGAGAATGTTAATCCTTCCTTTTTTTATTTCTTACCGTGCGTTTCAAGTTTCGCACTTTTCAAAAACGTTGTTTCTTTCAAACAAAAAATCTACTTTGACGCTTTCTGAAGATATTCCTTTATTAACCGTTGCGACAAATAACGCATCGTTCAGTAAAATGATATTTTTCAAGCAAGACATCAAAAAAATTTTTCATCCTCAACAATCAAGAGTTGGTAAAGTTGGCGCCGATTGTTGATGTACTTTATTAATGTCCACTTTCAAGAAATGAGAAAATTGGTCTATTTTATTATTATTGCTAATAACTCTCAATATATTCTTCGAACTAACTAGTAGATTAAACGAAGCATCGGTAAATTGTCGTTATCGGATAGTTAGCAATTAACGGAAGTACCCATTCGTCGAAAAGTCAAATAAGCTGTTAATAGGTGAGCAAACAACAATAAATTATCGGTACAGTATGATAGCGATTTTTAGTTTATATACACCACTTTTATTTTTCATTATTCACTTATTTTCTTTTTTTAAAGTATTGCCCGCTATAAACAAAAGATACAGTTAAGATTGCATTAAACAACTCTCTAGAATATTCTAAAAATTTTAATTTGTTTATAAAAAATAACAATAATTATTTTTAATTTATCGCTTCTTTAAGTAAATATAACATCGCCTTTATCTTTTACAAAAAAGTTTGGTTTCGTTGTAAACTATTGTCATACAATACTTGCGATAATATCATTCGCAGATGAAGGCCAGTAAATAGTTACTCTTTGTCAGCAGAGTTACTAACATCGAAAACTGGCATTAAAATTGTGCAAAGTGTTGATGTAGCACACGCATAACAATGCAAAATGGAGACTTTGATAGGCAGAAGTCAATTGCCCGAAATTAATAATGCCCTTGTTGCAAATTTTTCTTTGATTTTATCCAAAATTATATTTCATTATTTTTAATAAATCAAAGAATATAATTCGTCTAAATTCTATTATTTTTCAAAATATTAAAATTCTAAAAGCTTATTTCAAAAATTTTCGAAAAAATATAGAAAGAGTAAAAAATTTTCTATAATATTTTGTCAATCATGCAAGACATTGCCTTTCTTCAAAAGTGACGAACCGTAATAACAGTATAGTACTATCTCTGTGTCAGTTTTGAAGAACTTTTTCGTTCTTATAGCCACGAAAACGGTATCGTCTTTCTTATGAAATCTCGCTTGGGTGACTTCTTACACTTTTATGCCTTTAAGGTCTCTTAACACTCTAGAGACATCATCTTTCTCTCTCTTTCTTTTTCTCTGTTGCTCTCTCAAAAACTTCCACGTGGTGTTTCACGATATCGCGTAACGTGATGACCTGCGAAATATTTGTTACTACGTTTTATTATACGTGACTGTCTGTCTACCTTTCACTTTGCTCACCCTACCCATTTGTCAACTTTTTTCGATCAATTTTTTATTTTATTATCCATTATGTTTCTGACTACATTCGATCGTTTCTCTTCTTCTCGATTTACAATGTAGCACTTTGCGATACGACTGACGAGTAAAATTTCACTAAAATATTCTTATGGAAGAGACGATTTTAACGATCTAAAATTAGCACTACGTGTATAAATAGATATGTAAATGTATAGATCTAAAAATGAAACTTTTTTCTTTTTGTCAAGGTGTTAAGAAAATCAAGACGATTATCTGTTCCAAAAACAATACAACGAAGTTAAGAGATGATTAATGTTATTATCGTTGTAAAGTACCGCGTGATGCTTTTCCAGATATTCGTGTAAAAAGGAAAGAAAGAGTGAAGATGTTAAAGAAGGCTCACTAGTTGCTCTCTTATGTTGTCCAACATTGATCCCACGAAATACAATTTCATAGCAATACAAAAATTAAACTACACTGATGACTATATTCTTTACCGTGAATGTAACTTAATATAATAGATTTTTGTTTAAAGTAAAAAGAATCTTTCTCGTGTGACGAACGATTGTCACTCGTTTTCTTCCAAAAATAAGTAGATACGTTCATATATATTTAAAAACATCTATTTATTATTCTAATTCATTCTATTGTTTCTTAATAATTTTATATGATATAATTTCACAATAATATAAGTCTTCTTTTTTCTTGCATTTTTTCTTTCCTTCAAGTTATTTCATTCTTCATATTTTGCTAAGCTTCCGCTTTCGTATAAATTAGGAGTCAAAAATAAGAACACTTCGAACAAGTGGTTTCAATCAATAACTTAGACTTATTAAGTGCGTTCTTGTCACATAATCTTCGAAGGTTTAATAGTCCAAGCGTTTAATAATTTCGTGATGTCGTGAATCTCTTCGTTTTCTTTCGTGACATATTTCATACTCAGCTCAATCAAAATTAATATACCAAGAATAACGTAACGATTTTATTGTAACTTATAATCGATCAATTTTTTTATATAACCACAGGGAGTGTCTATTGCAATCATTATCACGAAAAGCATTGACTTGCTATAATTTCAAATAGAAATGAAATTTTTTAATTCAGTTTGAAGTTCTGCGTATGACATGACATTTTCTAAATTTTGGTGTATAAATTTGTTTTAAATAAAGCAAGAAATTGACTGAACGAAATATAACAAAATCTTAAACATAATACACGTTGCATCGGAATTTTACAAAATATTTGTAAAACGTTAAGATGTTTGTAATTTCAAGTAAAAAACAAATTGCCCAATTTGCTTCATCATGACGTCCATTTTAGTGTTACACAAACATTTTAATATTAAAATATAATATAATTTATCTAATGCATAAAAGTGAAACAAAGAAAATGAGTGTAATTATTATTCAGTTAATGACATAAACACATAATGATAATGCGTAAAATCATCACGATGATATTCTTTTCAAAAAAATTTAGGAAATAAGAACAGACAGGAATGCAGAAGGGCAAAATTTTTTAAGATGATGTAGTCCCCTGACCGAACTAAATGCTAAAAACGGTTTGGATAATGTTATTTAATTTTATTAGTTCCAGAATGAACGTGACAACAGCAGCCCACGGTGCTGCGAGTACCCTTGCTGAGTTTGTAGGCCTCGAGGAAAATGTAAGAATGGATAAAAGTGGCGGTATTATGGACGGGGACCTTGGCGTCTCACCAGTCACCCTATCACCAGCTTGGTCTAGAGTCGCCCGGCTTCTTTTACTGGCTTCTCTTGCGGTTGGTGGAAGTGTCGGCAATGTCTTCATGATATCCGCAATAGTTGTCGAAGATCAATTGAAAAAACGAGGTAAATCCATCTTCCTCCTAATCATAACATTGCCAAACGTTCCATTTTTCTTCTTTTAAAGAGACCAGAAAGAAACTACAAGATGCATTTGTGTCGCTTGCTTCTGTTTTTCTCCTTTTGATCAGCTGAAAAGATTTATCAACATATTCTTTGGAAAAAACTCACAAGAGCCCCTTTTAATATTTTTGTGGATCACGTTAGAGGCATATATATTTTCGACGTAGCTGATTCCACAAAAAAATTACATTTTGAGTATCATTATTTTGCTGGCAATAAACATGCAAATAAGATGCCTCCACTTTCACTACTACCTTCTCAGATTTTTATTTGAGTTCTCCCGACAAACTTAATCGTTCTTATTGCATTATATTATTATATATTTACAATAATATTATTGTAATGTATTTATTTATTTGTTTTTTTTATTGAAAAGAATAGCTAATCGAGAGGACTGTAAATTACATGAACGATGTTTATAAAAAAATATAAAACTAGATGTTTCTTCTAAAACTATCAATATTCCTCTTTCGCCAATACGAAATAACCTCTTTTAAAAATTTTATTTATTTCCTGAAGACTTGAATTCGTCAATTTAACAAATAACAGCCGATAGGAAGCTACAGACTCGCATTGAACGTAGCTCAATCCCTGCAATGATTCTCGAAGAAAATCGATAGCCGACAAAAAAAGGTCGTAATTGAAGAGGTTTCAGAAGGAATCAATTTCAATGGAAACTCATATATAGCTTTAAGTTCTTGAGACCGGACTAATATAAATTAACCAAGATATAAACCTTGGATCTGTCAATTTAATTAAGGAATGCGCGATTGAAATATTTTTTCTATCGAATGCATTTGATAGAACACAAGTAATCCTTCAAGTTTATTAGCCGTTTAACGTTTAAAGTAATGCTATTAATTATAAAGATTTATTTAATTTATCTCATTTAATCAAAATGAGAATTAATTGATTATGATCCTTGCTTTTTATAACGAAAATCATAAAGATTACATATATGATTTGGAACGTTTATTCCAAAATATTAAATTAACGGTTAAACATAAATTGGCTCCATTATCAAAATGCGGACGACAGTTCATAAAAAGTCATATATAACAGTCTAGGATATCACGCTAGGATCATTTTGAGAACATTAATTTTTCTATGTATGTATGTATATATATATATATATATACATACATATATATATATATATATATATATATATACATACGTATATATATATTATTTGAATATATTGAAATATAAATATTCCAATGTACATATACTCTCTTTCTCATTCTTAACGAGAAAACAAGGCCACGAGTAAAACAAAAGTTAAACTGTTTCTGTTTCCTTTAACGACATTCAAAGAGAATTTATTGTCAGCGGAGACCAATTCTGAACGAAATAGCAAATTTGTAAAGAGAGCTAACGTTCAATTTACACTTTCGAATAGGACGTTCATTATATATTCCTTTGTCCTTCATTTTTTGTCTCTCTTGTCTACCTCCGCTAATCACGTTCTCTACCAAACGATTCAATTCATTATTAAACTTATTAAGCCTGCAAAGTCTAGGCAATTGCATACTCGCTGCTACTATCGCTGCTTATCTATATTGCGAAAAGGAAACGTAATGGCTTTATATTTCGCTGTATTTTCTACATATATAAATAACTTCGTTAAGGAGCAAAATTCGTTTCTACTTCAAAGTCGGATCCGTCGACTTATATTATCGGAATTTTCCTCGCATCTGCGTTATTTCAACAGAGAGGAATAGAAGAAAAAAAACACGTCAAAAGACATCTTGCTGATGTTTTAAACATTTGTTACCACCACCGCTTTTAACGAGTATAATAGTAGTAAATTAATTGCAGGAAGGATTTGTCTTTATTAAAATATTTGTTATTCTGAAAATTCCTTAAACATTAAGAAAATGAATTTTATTCGCATCCAAGCTCCTCCAGGAATAAGAACAATAATTTTTACAAATTCTTTCTTACAAAAATTATTTTACTTATTACAAGTAGATCTTAGAATTTTAATTAGTGATAAAATCAAGAAAAAAAGCCAATTTGAATCGCATATTTCAGGAAATGCGTTTCTAGTAAACGTTGCTTTAGCGGATCTATTGGTGACCGGCCTTGTAATACCGGTGTCCGTTATCGTGATCCTGGCAGGACACGAAGAATCTTTAAGCACCTGCCGCTTTGAATGGACTCTCGAAGCGCTTTGCTTTCTGGTCACCGTGCTAACTTTGACCACGATAGCAGCCGAGAATTACGCTCGCCTTTGTTTACCCCCTGAAAGGTAAGCACTAATGAAAATCACCAAACACAACCAAGTTTATCGGCTCAATCGATATCACTACATATATATGTGTGTATATACACAAGCATGCGCACATACACACACATATTCAACTTCTTTTTTCAAAATCGCTACATATTTTTTGTTTCTCGATTAATCCTGAACATTCATTTAGTAATCTTTTAAAAACCACTTTTTTCTCTTGAAATAAATAATATTATAAATTGTTGATAAGCGATAAAAATGATATATGTATATAAATTAACGCTTTCATTTTTTTAATTTACATTTCATAAACTACTTGTACAAAAATAGAATTAATAATCAAACATGGAAGCATTAAATGTCCATTTTTATCATTAATATACTACATTTAAAAACAAAAAGGATCTCGTTGCCATAGATACATAAAAGCAACATATAACTATAGAAAAACGAAGCCATTCCATTGTATGCGTCAACTATAGTAGAGTAAAAGTCAACGTGGGAGTTCATAATATTAAGTCTCATACTTTCTGCTCGTTATCGGAAAGACTACTAACATCGATGATGAGTCTTGAAAATTACACCATCATTGTTTATCGTGCGTATCATATGCTGTATGCATGCAAAATACACAATCAATTTTATTTATTATAATTTCAAAATTTATTGCTGATTTAAAAAATTTTACATCAAGTATCACATATCCTTATACTCCTAGTTTAAATATTACCTACATATATCTATCAATATGATATGAAATAGAAAACTAAACTCTCAAAGTTAACCATTGAAAATGGCTTTGCAGATACAGCTTTCTAACAGCGAGCCGAGTGACAGTCACTATAATCGTCATTTGGCTCATTGCGGTGATCGCTGTGATTCTTCAATCATCTATCAACGTCGGACCAGACTTTTGCCTACGAAAATTTGGCGGTATAACGATGGAGCAAATAGTGGGTGTAACGATATTGGTCGGTTTACCTGCTGTAACAATTACCTTGCTTTATGCGATGCTCGTCTTGTGCGTGCGCCGAGCAACGAGGGGATCCTACAAACCACCGATCGCCTTTTCTTGGGACTACGAATTAACTAAAGCGAACATATACAGCTGTCTGATGTTTATGATATTTTGGTTGCCCTTCGGCGCTGCCGTATGCGTGAATTCGTTTCGACCGATGAGTGCTCACGTTCTCTATGGCCTAGCCTGGTTCGCCTTTTCCAAGTCTTGTTTCAATAATCTTCTCTACTGTGTAGCCGATCGACACTTCCGCAGCGCCTACGTAAAGCTCTTTCATTACTGCTGCTGCAAAACGACCGTGAACTTCTCTAGAAGAACGCGCGCCGATGCTGGCAGGAATTCTAGTGACGTGCGTTTAAGAGTTCATATCATCCATTCTTACGCGAGTCCGGCTTCCTGTAGACCTACTGTGACCAGACCGAACGGACGTGAAGTCTATGAGCTCTAAAACAGCTTTCTATTAATGTTTGCTATTTCCTTTCTTTTGTCTGCCCTACCTCTCACTCCCCACACACGCTACTTATGCTATAAGAACACCTAACTCGAGTATTCATTTTTCCTTTTCTGTCTCCTGAAATCAATTGTGGAGAAAATGAATTCGTCCATAAGAATAGTTACGGAATAAACTTTCAAAAGCTCTCTATTTTCAGCCAAGTATATACGAAGGTTTATTGCACTTGAGCGCTCTTGCGCGCACACGATACACGTGACTGGCTTCCAATTTGGAAATGCCAACGCGATTCTCCGATTTCTATCCACTTAAAGTTTATCGTCCTTTTATCTTTCTTCTGTTATTCTTGACACGAGATGTAGTACGCACAAAATGAGAAAATTATGACATTGACGGGTCTATATCAAATCTATATTTCGAACGGACCATCGTCACCGATACGAATTTGTATAAAGAATTTTGTCTTGTTTTAAAACGAAAGAGAGAAAGAGAGACACACGAATTTACGATGAATTTCTAAGGAAACAGATGTTTCGAGAAACTCACACATGCTTTGTCTATTTCCGTCTTCGTTTCCGTTAACAAAGAAATACATATCTTTTCAAATTGTATTGTTGACATAAACACAGTTATATTGATGAATATATCATCGAGACTAATCTGATAAAAAAATGAAATACGTATCGATGAATGTTTATACAGTTTCTCTAACCATATTATAAACCTGTTTTCCGTTTAAACAAATCAGTGAAGAAAACAGTCGCATTCGGAAGAGTCTATAATAGAAGAAAAGAAAACTAATTCAAAAATAGATATAGAGTTACCTCATTGAGAGCTGTCTGAACCCTCGTGACTCCGTCCGATTTCGTTATCCGTCCTTCTTCGATTATAGGGATTCAAAGTTATAAGTTTTTTTTATAACAAAGCCATCTCTTAGTTACGCATCGTCACGCAGGAAAATTTGAAATTTCGTAATAAGATTGTTTTAGGAATGTAGAATTTCCTAAGCACAATATTAATCTAAAACGTTCTTTTCCTCGTCATTTAATATAAAGATTTTTATATTTTAGGACAACATTGAATTTTCGATTAGAAGATTTTAGATTTCATTATAATGAGAAGAAGATTGTTTTTTTGTTCTCTTTCTCTTTCTCCTTTTCTGTCGTCTTTTATGTTTCTCTTTGGATGAAATCTGCTGCACTTAAATGACGTTTTAAGAGGAAGTCAAAAGTTGACGGAAAATAGATTTGATTTATGTTAGAGTGGAAAACGATTATCTAATACTATCAAGATGAACGAAAGTAATTTAGAACAATATATATTAGAGCAACACGGATCTTCAAGTTTCGAGAATGAAATAGTGTCATCGATCAATCGTTATGTCTGAAATTGTGGTGGCGCTACCTGTCGCAGTAGTGAAAGGAAAAAAGGAAAGCATTCGTAAAGGGCATTCGTAAGCTTTAAAGGGGCTGTACTTTCTTACTAGCGTTCGATGTGGATTAATCGCCACTCTTATTAATTAATTATATCGGCTGTTCCTTGACTCAAAATTATGATTTTCAACGGTCTATCTATATCTAATGTAGTATTACTCTTTTATGCAATAGAAACACATATCAATTAATTACGCTTTTCTTGAAATTTACTTTATTTTACACACTCGACTACACTTTCTATAAAATACGTTTATAAACTTTTGATTCGCTCCAAAATATTACCAGTAGATATCTATCAAATTGGTCCGTTTCCTCGACGCGAAATGACAAATTAATCAATCTATATTGAACCAAGAATATAATGATACTTTGAATATCTAACAATTCAATCGATTTGAATAAAATTCATGTTATTATAATTTTTTATTCTTTTATGAGGACGTATTTACGTATAGAAAAGTATTTCAAATATTTTCCATTTCATCTGGTAATTTTCCACTTTATAGATCATTGAAAATCATTACAAAAACATGATCTCGCAAAATTAATCCTTATTTAGATAGATAAATTTTAAATAGATTTTTAATTTTTAATTACGAGATTAAAATTACGAGACTTTTATTTCTTAACGTGTAATTTTTCTACACCATTTTAAGGCTAATTGAATTTCTTGAAATCTTACTATTATACATATTGCTGAAATTAGTATATATTCTATATACCACATATATTTTTTTAGCTTATATCCAAAAAAAAGGTACAAAAAGTTTTGTACAATTCTCTTTTGAAAATTTCATATCCGTGTATTTAATGAATTATTATATTAATCTCAATAATGATATTGGAGATTGGAACAAACTTTCGGGAAGATAGTATATATTCTCTCTCCGTTTATCAAGTGGTACTTAAATTCACGAAGCATTTCTTAAAAAATTAAACAATATATTAAGTTGAACAATAAATAATGTCAAAATTTCCAACCAAAAATATTGAATATAGTATTGTTTATTGGTAGAAAATATTGAAAATTAGAATATTACTTATTGGCCAATCTAATACTAACAATAGCGAAAAAATTGAACTCCGAAGAAGATAACATCTTTTGAAAACGTATCTATATGTATCTTTCTATACGTGAAAGAATGTTTTCATGGACGTTATACATTTCTATTTCAAATCGTAAATAAATCTTGCTCTATTCTGTGATTAAATTCGCGCAAAACATATAATCGTATTTAATCATTAAAGAAATTATCGTTTATGACATTTTTTATTACATTATATATGCACACATTTACAACACACGATATTTTTGTGTCAACAATTTTTTGCATATATATACATATAATGTGCAAATAATTCGATTATTTGCATTCGCATAATTTTTAAATCCAAAGAAAAATGATGAGATCGATAAGTGATTTTATCTTTGTGCTATTAGAACTCTAGTTTCGGTTACTCCTGAGCATGATAACTTTATAGCACGAGAAAATATTAGCTCTGTCCGTAAAATAAATATTTCTTATCTGCATATTGTGGTCAAGTATATTTTACGACGAAATTTTTTAAAGGAAAAGAAAGCAACATAATCAAATCAATCTCTCTTTGGACATATGAAATAAAGAACTGAATTTATTTTTTAATCTAATTATACAGTGTGAGGCAGCTACGATAAAACAAATTACGAAATGATCAAATCAGGAGAAATATGTCGTATTTTATTAAATCTTTAAATATAACTCTCTCTCTCTCTCTCTTTCTCTCTCTCTCTCTCTCTCTTTCTCTCTCTCTCTCTCTCTCTCTCTCTCTCTTTCTCTCTCTCTCTCTCTCTCTCTTTCTCTCTCTTATCTTTAGTAATTTGAATAAATGTAATAAGTGTTTCAAACTCAACAAACAAAACGATATGTTTCTCATGATATATCTTATATACGTATATATATTATAAGTATATAGTTCGTCTAATAAACATTGATAAATTATGATAATGACGTATATATATACTTATGTATATAATATATGTATATACTTATATATTTCTCATGACTGTATATCTCTAAATATTGTATTTTACAAGCCTTCTGTCAATCTGTGATCACATTATTAGATATGATCGAATCGTATTATGGTCGATGTACGTATGTATGTAAGTCCAAGTAACAGCTTTCGAATTCGACACGATTAAATCGCTAAAACGCGATCGACGGATCGTACGACTCGAGAAACGGGACCAGGATCAAAAACAAGTTTGTCGTGCTACTACTTCTTACTAATTACATTTTACTTCTTTACTACACTTATCCTGCATGTAAATATATACAGGATGAAGTATAATGAATAAAACGTGACCAATTAAAAATTGATTGCTTGAAAATTTTCTTCGTTTCCAATGGACTTGGAAATCTTTCTTTAACTCGTACAAATTTATATATGATTCTATATAACATTGATAATAGCATTCACAAGTTCATTTTTTTTAAGCAATTTGTAAAATTCAAGTTTAAAGAACATGTGGATAAAAAAATTGATCACGTTACACAATTTACCGACATTACGCACGATACTCGTAATCTATAAATTCGAATCTAGTTTTTCTCTATAGTGAGTAATATCTCCCTTCGAGCTTGAATCATATTTATCTATATTTCATTTACCTGTAATGGGTTATAAATTAAATTCTGCGTCTTATTTTTCTTATACTTCATCATCAACCTCTAGCTACGCTAAATACGTATCCATCTTACAAGTATGTGACGCATCAAAGGACAGAATTTTCATATGTAGCCTGGAGAAAGATATTACACACTTCAAAAATGAAAAAAAATAAAGATATATGAAAATGATGTTATTAAATTAGGTCCTTACACAGAAACTTATAATTAGTAAAAAAAATTTTTGTCAGTTCATACTGTGTATTTGACTGTAACGATATAAATGTACATGTAATAAGTATAAATAAGTTATATACAAGAGTGTATATGCCCACGCATACACACACGTGAGGTACTTCACGTATTCAAAAATCGATACTCCAAATATTCGGCTATATCAAAGAGATATTCAATGTTCATTTCTTCAAAATTATTTCATACATGTTGTCGGCTAAATTAAATCAATTCGATTGTTTCTTCAATACCGACACAGTATCCGTCCAAGGAAAAATTCAAAATTTATAAAAAATATCTACGATCTATTTGTATTAATTTTAGATCTATAATCCCCCTCACTGTAAAAAAGAAAAAAACAATTATATTTCGTAAAATACAATTTATATTTATATAAAATATAAATCTTTTTTGTATAAAATTACAATTACGAATATTTTTGTACGATATGAGAGGGATAATTTACGAAAAAGCCTAAAGTGTGCGTGTATGCGCGTGCTCGTGTAAATAAGACAACAATAATATAGACCATGAATGCAAACTGTATAGAATCAAGGAACTAATTGCATACGATACTCATTATTGATCTTATAAGAAATTATGAGCTTCGTCCGTCACCGGAGATTCATTAATCTCGTATTGCGATCTGTCTATTCTTGTGCAAGTAAAAATCGGTAATTAATTGTGAACTGTCTAAATATATTTATATATTGCATTAGTATATCTGTAATAAAATTATGGTCGCGATAAATGTATTCCAAATTAAAAAATCTGTAAGCAATGATTGGAGGTCCTACATATACTTAAAATAATAAACTTAAACGACAAGTATATGTGATATATACAGGATCTCTCATTTTAAACGATATGGCTAAATATCTCCTATCCTATTACTTTTATAAACAAATGTTTCAAATAGAAGTTGCTAAGTTTTAATGTGGAAATGTAATATGTATTGCAGCTATTTCATAAAATAAGCTGTTGTCAAGATACGGAAGTCAGAACAATTTTTTTACATGAAAATCGATATATTAAGCCTGACAAAAATTGTAGAGAATATAGTACTAACCTAACGACCATCTGCAGTATTTTTTCATCGAAATTCAATCAATTTATAGAAATTTAATAAACTGGATAATCGTAATAATACGATCAATTTACCTGTAAACATATGATAACCAATGAATTCATTGATCAATTTTGTTTTCTATTTGTATGCACTTTTTTCATACATTTTTAAAGTTGTTATCATTTGAAACGGAATGCTCTTCAGCAGTCATAAAGGACATTAAAGCAATTATACAGTTCGTTAACTTCAAGGCGCCATAACTTGATGAAATATTGATACTCTCTACAAATTTTGTTCAGCTTAAAATATCGATTTCCACATAAAAAAATTGTTATGCCTTCTGCACATTGATAACAGCACCCTCTATGAAATAGTTGTAATACATATTACATTTCCACCTCAATACTTAGCAACTTTTATTAGAAACTAGTTATTTATAAAAACAATAGGATTGGAGATATGATATTTGATCATATCGTTTAAAATGAGATACCTTGTGTGTATACATATGTAAATATATATAAATGTACGTATGTATACATAAATGTTCGTAATCTCAAACTGAAAATAAGAGGAAAATGGAATACATTCACGTATACTTCGCTATTCTTTATTATCCATCTAGAAATTAATAAAAAAGAAGAAGAATCATAGCTTACTTTAGAATAATGTATGAAATCTCTCTACAATTGTAGAATTAATCAATTAATTAATTCTGCTCGAAAGACTGACATTGCGCCGTCATTATACAAAATTTATAAAAATGACAAACAAACGAAAAAATACAAGATTTTTGGAATGACGATCGGTTGATAAATTTAATAAACTTTGTTGTATAAAAACGTAGGTAATCACAAAGAATTACTCATATTTATATATTAAGAATGTATATTTATACATACATATTATATGTAGCAAGAAAAATGATCAAAACTTTAAATCTATAATCTAAGTTATATCTGTTTTTCGAATATGAAAATTATAGCGTAGAATAAAAAAAGGAAAAGAGTATAGTGGCAACTTGTTCTATTGAAACTATGCTACTATGTAATTCCTATCATGAAACTTGTCATATGCATAAAACTGTTATATTCTAAACTTTGAGGACCAGAAATACACAATAATGCATTATTTATTTTATCTGTATACATACAAAGTGATCGAAATAATCTTTATATCAAGTAAATTAAAAAAAAAGGAAAAAAAAATTGTGTTTAGTATCTTGTATATGCGTTACTTCCCCTACGAAGTAAATTCGGTTTAGATTATAGGTAATTAACATTGTCATTGAAATAATATAATATTTCTTTACTTAAAATATTGGATTTGTTTTCAATCGAATAAAATGAACTTTTTATGAAAATTATCAGAATTAAAAGGACTTCGACACGTGCTTGTTAAACATAATCTGGATTCAAGTTTATAAGTCGTTATACGGCTCCTTTTACTATGTAAGAAAGTGAAAGAATTAAAATAAAAAAAAAAAAAATAAAAAAACAAGAAAAATAGAATATATCAATGTCATGTTTTAAAATAAATGTCTATGATAATATTGCCAAGAGGGCCATTGATATTATTCAATCGTCGGTTTGATCTTATAATAAAGATCAAAGTAAAAGATACTCCAATAGTCTAGATGCGAACGTAAAAACGTCACGAAACTCATAGAAATAGATAGTATTTCTTTGGTGAAAATGAAATCTTAAAAATCTATGTGACACCGACAGTAAAATCTTTCTATCGGATTATAAATGTATTTATTTTGTATTTAACTATATTTTATGCATTAATGTAGTTTTCGTAAATAGGCTGATGTAATAGAAAACGTCATACCTCTTGGAATGCAGCATCTCATTTTATGAATATATTTTACTATAATTTGTGTAAACGTAGATTTTATAATGTTGTAATAAAAGACACTTGTTTTTACCTCGTGTAGTTCTCCTTTATTTTCTTTTTATAAATGATAAAATAAAAATCTATATTGGATAAAACAGAATGAAGAAATAAATTCTAAATTGCTGATATTACAACAGATGGCACTGCAGTAATATGAAAAAATACTATTTTATACGAATTACCGCGTAATTATCTGCTTGAAATGAATTATATTTTTACATAACATAAAAACAAAAGGATAAACGGAAGTTAATTAGCAAATAAAAACTTGTTTAACTTCTTAATAAATATTTGTTACTTTCAAGAATATACTTTCATGATTGCTAATATTGTTACATTGATAACATTATTACATTGATAACCTAATTTTTAAAGTACTTTTATACGTGTTGCAGTAACAGTTTTTGTAATGTATAAATTAAATATGTGAAAATATATATTTTAGTAATTAATTAAAATATATTATGTTCTAACTGTTTTGTTTTATTCAGTTTGTTTTTCACAATTTCAATTTTTTTTACAGTTACCTTCAATTTTATGGATCCAGAATTTCTTTCAAGATTGGTACCTCAAAACAAAGATCATACACGGCCTGCTTGCAAAAAATGTGGTTATGCAGGGCACCTCACTTATCAATGTCGCAATTTCATTAAAGTTGATCCGAACAAAGAGATTGTATTAGATGTAAGTAGTACCAGTTCCAATAGTGATGAAAACTATGTGACTCCGCTAACAGAATTACGTGAAAAAGAATTAAAGAAGAAATTGAAAGAAGCTAAAAAGAGACACAAGGAGAAAAAAAATAAGAAAAGTTCAAAAAAAAAAGAGAAGTCTAAATCCAGTGATACAGAATCTAATAGTTCATCTACAGAAGAAGATGAGAAAGAAAAGAAAGAAAAACGACATAAACATAAAAAAAGGAAAAAGAAATCGAAAAATAAAAAGAGAAAGAAACATAAAAAGTATAGCTCATCAGAAAGTGACAATGATAACAACAAAACATAATATCAATAATGGCTTATCATTGAAAGCATACTGATACTTAATATAAAATATTAGGTCTACCAAAAAGTTTTGTCCGTTTTTGAATTAAAAGAAAATAATATATTTCCAATATATTTATTAATATTTACTGAACAATATAATTTCTATAACTACTAATCACCTCTTTTCAACTTGATGGTAATTTATGGATTGGCTCCATTTCAATAGAATCATCTTTGGAGGCATAAAATTTAAGCAGTGCTTGGCTGATATCTGCTTCATTTTTGAATTTTTTTCTCTACAACAAATTTTACAGAGAGAGAAACAAATGAAACCTGAGAATATGGTGGATGTGACAGAATTTCCCAGCCTATCTCTGCAATTTTTTAGCGAGTCGCCAAAACAGCATGTGGTTTGGCACTGTGGTGTAGCATGATTTACTTCCTATTGACGAACGTCAATTTTTTTCCTTGAGTGCTTCGTTCAAATCATCTATTCTTCATCAATACATTCCAAAATTGAGCCTTCCTTTAGATTTGAGAAGCTCATAGTGTATTGGTCTTTTGATGTCTCCCTATATACACGATATTCTCTTATTGAGGCTGAGCTTTGTTTCGAGGTGAAGGGGAAGGTCGTTTGGAGTCGTAGTATGTTATTTTTCTCACAATGTTCTCATATGTAATCCACTTGTCATTATCAGTTATCATCCAGAATCTAAGAAAGCTTCATATTTGTTTCAAACAAGCAGAAATGTGCAAATGATAATTCGGTCGTATAAATTTTTTTCAGTTAACTCATGAGGCATCATCTGGGTTATTTATATACCATTCCAAGCTTCCGAATATGGTCCAGAATGGTTTGTTGTGTTGAATTGAGCTTTACTAAGATTTCTGATGTTATCAAGAAAGTATCTTGCTGTATAATCGTCCTAACAATATCGTCATCAATTAAAGATTGTCTCCCAGAGCATAGTTTATTATTAAGATTGAAATCGCCTGCTTCAAATTTTTCGGACCATCCCCTGCATGTTCTGTTGGAAACTATCTTCACCAAAAATGTTCAAATTTCTACATGCTTCTACAGCATTTCTACCTTTTTGGAATTCATATAGAATGCAATGCAGCAAATGAATTTTATCAATAGACATGTTTACACAAACAAATCTCACTTAATATTGAAATGATGAAATCATTGTTTCCGTAAATTTAGAGAAAAGTGAAGAGACAACCATATATGTTTTAAACGAATATGTTCATACATATTCAAACTTGAGATGACAGATCAGAATTATCGGACAGAACTTTCCAATAGACCTAATAGTTAAAAATAATTTGATAATTGTACCATATGATCTTTCTCAACATAATGTACATATACCAAGTATAAATTATACATCTGGATCTCTTTACATGGATACATACTGTGCAAAAAAAATATCGTGTAAAAAGTGATCCACAAGAACTATAAAATTTATATTAAACTAATGCAAACTATACAAAGCACTTTAAAATATAGAAATACATTCATTAAAAACATTTTATTTAATAAACACATAAAAGAAAAATTAGTGTGTTGAGGTAAATGAAAAAAAAATATTTTTTCAAAAAAAATACACATAATTATCATGACATTTCCTGCAAACTAATTAGTATATGTTTTTGCAACTGTGTAAAAGTAAGTAAAACGTGTGAATAAAACATGTTAAGAAAATCTCATATAGAGGCTTACATCATATTCAACTAATTGCATCATATATAAATTATCATAATATTACCATTATATTTTTTATTAATTTGTAATGTAACCAGAAAATGTAGAAAATATAGAAATCCAATGAAAATATAATACTCATTCAAATTTTAACAATAAACTTGTTCATTACATAATACATTTGCTAATATAATATTATGCCAGATTCTTCTGATTGCAATTTTTATCCGATTTTGATGTTTGAGTTTGTTCAAAAAATAAAAAATAAATATATGAAATTACCTTTTTTGGTTTTTTGAACAAATTATTTTCTTTGCAAAACTCATGTTTAAGAAAGGTTATTTTTAAGAGTAATTTTCACATGAAAAGAAACTTTTGAAAGTATTAAAAAAATAATTTTCTTCATCTTTTATCTTTCCATCATCTAAATTATAGTGCAAATGCTTATATATGAATTGAGTGAATCTGATGTAATAAATTCAAGAAACACAAAGCATGGTTTGTCTCCTTATTCTGGACTGATTCTAATAAACAAGGGCTTAGCTAAAAAATAAATTTATTACATGAGACTATTTCCTGAAAATTTTAATATATGATTTTGTTCTCATGTAAATTAATCATTAATATTAACATTCTTTACAGATAATTTATTTTAAAAATATATATTTTTATTTTGAAAATGTCATGTCGTGAGCCATTGTTTTATCTTTTAAATAAGTCCTTGCTCATAAAAACGTATCAATAATTATATTTGTTGTTATGTTGTGCCATTTAAGAAAAATTTCGTTGAATTTATACTTTTCATGTTACTTTAGAAAAATGAATAAATTACGAACTTTTTACAAAATTTAAAAATTTAGATATATATTATTATATTGTAAAGCGTAATGTAATCTTTAGTCTACTAATAGTTTGTTTTTTCTTTGAAACTAAGATTGTGTTTCTCTTTTAAACAATATATCTTTTTATATGTTATTTTTTGTATAGAACAAGAATTCAATAATAACCTTAATATCTTTATAAAATTCTGGCTACAATATATAATAAATGCAATAGGACAGATAATTTCCATTTTTCATTACTGCGTACAATATGTATTGATCCTTCGCTTTTTGATTTACATGCAAGTATTTACGCATGGTCTTGACTGTGATAATAGATTATTAGCTATAATATAATCAAGCATGTTTTGCTACTAGTGTTTTATTTTATTGTTACTTGTCGTCTAAAAGACTTGTCGTCTATTGTTACTTGTCTAAAATGGTCCTTTAATCATAAATACTTAGTTCATATGTTAGTTACTATTAGGTGGACCGGAAAGTAATGTCGTTTCTGCGCATGTCAATATTTGATTGTGATTAAAAATAAAAACTTGTTAAAAATTTATTCGTTTGAATTTAATTTAAAAAAGCGACATTACTTTCCGGTCCACCTAAACTTTCGAACCATTTAATTCTTTTCTGTTAAAATACAGGATATTCTTAGTAAGACTTTTTACCGTTGTTACCATTATGGAATATAAATAAAAGACAATCTTTAGACTCTTAATCGATAGAATCGATAGAAGTAGGATTTCCAGATAATAATTGATTAACTATATGTCACCCTTTGTGAGAAAAAATCATTTTTTCTGAAAAGAAATTCATATATTTTTGTTCAGTCTCAGTTCAGTTCTTGATGTGTTATATTTTTCCTGTATTCAAGATCGTCTGAAATCGTCATCAATGATGTTACTTGGAAATGACTGATGAAATTCTGATAATTTGTAGTTTTTTATCTATGATACGGTATAAAGAGAAGATACTCCAACTATTGTCATCTTAACGTGTTTTGTATTAGATTGTGACTTCCAAAAAAAATTTGAAGATAGTAGTCTAGTTACTGAAGATAGTACTCTAGGGAGGAGTAATTATAGTAGTTGTTAGGTTATGACGCGAACTGTGAACTTCAAGAGCATTAAAGATGAGCATAAGAATCTTCTTCGTCCATAAACAAAAAACGTTATCGGAATTCTGATGTTGATTGAACTGGCACTAAACGAAAATGTGTGAACATGTACATTTAAATTACATATAATAATGTTATAATCACTGTTGCCGAATAATCGAAATGAAAATTAAATTGAAATGTGTGAATCGACTTCTGTCTATGTATTGTTAATTGTATATGTATTGTTAATTAGGATCAGAAAATGTTAAAAATATAACGACATCGACAATATCATTTGCTCGTAGAGCGGATATACCGGATTATACCGGTAAAATCGGTAATACTCATATTCCATGTAATCTTATAAACATTTCGTTACACATAGGTAAATATGCAAGAAATATTTATATTATTATAATAAATGTCAATAATATATAATTAACTTCAATTTTCCCAAAGATTTGACTCTCAATGGCTTGTCAAAAGTGGTTAAATGTTTATGGATTCAGGTTGAACAATGATATATTATTATAATAATTATTGTAGACTATTAATGACTAATATTATCATTTATAAAATTTATTATCATTTTTGTATTCTATTTTATATGCATTCCATTAATAAAATGTCAATTATATTTTATAATCTCATTATTTTTTTTTTTTATTGTTATACCTATAATTAATGTCTAACACATTCATAAAGAAATATTTTATAGAGTTCAATTTTTATTTTCAATTTTATATTCTATAAATATTGCCTATTTTTATTAAACTACTTTACTATTGATTACTTGTTATTAACAAATTATCTCCAAGAGTAACTATTTTTTATATATTTGTCGATTATAGAAAAACATTTGAAAACATTTCATTAAATGAGTGTAACTTATAATTTTATTTATATATGCATCCTACTCTTGTGCCTACATTGGCACAATTCAATTCCATATTTAACCGTCTGCGCACAATATCTTGCGCATAATGGACAAAGTAAATTCTTGTCTCACTTCATCAGTGACCCTTCAACTTAGAGGGACTAGTAATATAGTAGTATTCATAAATAAATAGATATGATACAAAATCTCCTTTTAATACTCTCGAAATCTACAGATTAAGATCTGTACTATCTATTTAACTAGGGACTAGTAATATAGTAGTATTCATAAATAAATAGATATGATACAAAATCTCCTTTTAATACTCTCGAAATCTACAGATTAAGATCTGTACTATCTATTTAACAGTATATTGAACTGATATATGTGAATACCAATGATTGAAACTGAAATGTAATTGAAGTGACGGAAAGGAAATTAAACTAAATTGAACTGAAAAGTTGAATCAACCTTAATAGGATACTTATGTTTCAACTATTACGAAATATGTTTGTTACTGTACGGAATACATATTATTGACATCATTCAAGTTGATCTGAAAAAACTATTGTCTAATGTCAATTTAGTTCTTCGATACTAGCGCACTAACAATACGGTGGTCACAGCTAATCTATACAAATATAGATACCAAATGATACCAATACGATAAAATCGAGAGAAGGAGGAGTAGTATTTCCCTAACTAATCTTTTCTAGTTTTTATTTTCAGCGTATTAGTTGCTGAGGTAACGCACTAGTTGACCGAGATATAGTGTGCAGATGTGATGTACGCTTCCGTTAATTATAAATAGGACAAATTTATCCAATTAGTTTGTTGTGATTTGTATAGATTTATCTTCATATAAACTCATGCAAAAAGATTCAAGTATATGAGTGCATATTAAATAAATTTAAATTTTCGCATATAATAGTTCAGTAAAAACCTCACAATCAAGAAAAAATTAATTAAAATAATGACGAGACACGCGAGAAATTGTACTGCTGGCGCTGTTTATACTTATCACGAGAAGAAAAAAGATGCAAGTGCTTCAGGTTACGGTACCAATACACAAAGAGTTGGGAAAGATTCTGTAAAGGATTTTGATTGTTGTTGCCTTACTTTACAACCTTGTAGAGAGCCTGTAGTAACGTATATATTATTTATTATTTACTATCCTCTGTTAAAAAATTCTTTATTTTCATCAATGTTTTTATCGATCCTATATTTTACAGAAAAGATGGTTATCTCTTTGATAAAGAAGCGATATTAGAGTATATTCTAACGAAGAAAAGAGAATATGGTAGAAAATTAAAAGAATATGAAAAACAGAAACACAAGGAAGAGGTAAGCTGCAAATTATTTGAACTAATATAAAATATCGAATGAATATAAATGTCATAATATTTTGCTTCTTTTTCTCTATTTTTAATTATAGGAGGAGTTACATGAACGAACTGTAAACGAGGAGCTATTAAAATTGCAAAACTTTTTAAAAAGTGAAAAAAATATTGTTTCAAGGACCAAATCCAAAACAAATCAATCAAATACGTCGGTTTCAAATATGAGCAACGGAAAAGATAAAGCATTACCTAGTTTCTGGATTCCTTCTAAAACACCCGAAGCAAAAAAAACAAAATTACAAAAGCCTAATAAAACAGTTTATTGTCCTCTCAGTGGTAAACCTTTGAAACTAAATGACCTTATTTCTGTTAAATTTACTGAAGTTAAAGATCCGGATGATAACAAGTCACTTATAGTAAAACAAGCACGATATATGTGTCCTATTACTCATGATATTTTGAGTAATAGTGTTCCTTGTGCAGTAATTAAAACAACGTAAGTTAAATCATATAGATATTATAAAATAAAATTAAATAGATATAGTACATACAAATACAATAATAAATAAACTTTTAGTGGTCATGTTATCACAATGGAGTGTGTTGAAAAAATAATAAAAAAGGAATGGATTAATCCATTAGATGGTTCAAAATTAACAGAAGCAGATATTATATGTCTACAAAGGGTAATATGCACAGATTTATTAAAAATACATAAATGAACGTTTATATTTTTAACTGTTATCTTTAATTTTACAGGGTGGCACAGGTTATTCAGCTGTAAATGATTCTTTGGAAGGTAAACACGAAAGACCAGTATTGCAAGCTTAAATATATAAAAAATAATTTGGTTGTAAATATGTAATTTATAAAATTTACAATAAAAAATGTATTAATCCAACAAGTATTCTGCATTGCAATATATATATCATAAATTATATTATATTGTATGCTATTATTATACATGTTATATGACAACAATATATGACATACGACCAGAAAAAGTAACTTGTCAGGTATATACTAATCAAAACCATAACCAAAAGTTTAATTTAAAACCATAATCTGAAGGTGCTACACTTCTACTATTATAGCTCTAACTTCACCTATTTTTTAAACTGTTAACTAAATATTCTTAAAATTATGTACTTTCAGAATATTTAAAAAAGAAAATTAATTTTTTGTCCAAGAAAGTCATATAAATTATTTAATAGTAACTGATCCATGAATATAACGTGACTGTTATCTTTTAAACGACAAAAAAACGAAAATATATACACAATATATATATATATATATATATATATATATTATGTATATAAAATATATTACATAATTTCAAAAAACTTCAGATTTAAAAATTTTTATAGTTACTTTTTAAGCACTGAAATACGTAAGAAATATTTTCTTCACTTATTTAACAGAGATCCATTAACCATTATTTATTTTTTAGACACTTTTAATTGCATATATTTTGTTGTACTTCATTCACATTTAATCAGTAAATCAACATTTGAAAATAATCGTCTCACTATATCAAGCGTAACGCTTTTCTCGTTCTTTTTACAAAGTATTTAACACTAGGTTTACGGGCGTTTCTTATATACCTATCTCTACGAGCACCCATCAATTTGGCGGGTAAACGAAAATACTCATTTTCTTTAAAAAATTGACATATTTAAGTTAAGTCTGAATTGAACAATATTAGACTTTACGTTTAAATAATTTATTAATAAGTAAAAAGCCTTTTTTTTAATTATCACGGAAATGATAACAATAATATTAACTATAGAGTAATCATTAAAATAGAGTAATCATATTTATTGAGCACATTTTTTACAAATATACTGAATTTTGTGTATGCATTTTCCGCATACGATCTTTTTGCAATATATACAACAATTATTGCTTCTATTTTTTTTGCAGTAGCCCACTTGGCAACTTTTTCGCACTTTTAACGTTGAAGGTTACAGAAATGAAGCGTCTGATCTTTGGCAAATGTTCTCCTTGTCTTTTTCATGTTATTTTTCGGCTAAACAAAATGAATTTTTTTCTGGATATTTTCGATCCGGTGCACTCTTTATATAATATCCACGCGTTTATCGCTCTCAAATCTAAAATATTGAAAGAAAACTTGAAGGGGCCATCGGAAACTTCCTGCTTTCACACTATATTTGCGTGCCATCTGGTCAACGACGTCCACACCAAACTTTGTTTTATTATAAAAAGTAATGATTTCTGGAACACGTTTATAATTATTTTCTATTTGTACACTTGTATGTTTGGTGCTTAGAAGAAGGACTTTTATCTTAGGTTTACTTTTTTACACAATAAATGTGCAGTTTTCTGACTTATATAAATGTGAGAAAAACGAAGTCATCTTGTCCTTTTTTCCTTCGCTGGTTTTGGCAGTTCTTTTTTATTAGTTCGGATGGTCTCAACCAAGGTTGTTTTTCTTGCAAGCAATTTTTTAGCTAGCGAGATTCTTGTAAAGAAATTGTCAGTTGTTATATTTCTGCCTTGTTTTAGGTATGGTTCGGCTAATTTTAATGTTACAAACTCGCCCAACGATTTTGAGCATCGAATTTCATCTTTCCCCATATAAGGGAAATCATTCAAAATATATTTTGTTTAGACATCAACTGCTAACCAAATCTTAATGCCAAATATACGAATTTTATTTGGCATGTATTGCGTAAACCCGCATTGGGCTTTCCTTGGAAATAATTCTTCATCTATCGATATGTTTTCATATGGCTTATAACAAACCTGACTATTACTTATATATCTGTTCCATATTTCAGATATCAGCGCAAATTTATCTGTTTGTAATCTTTCGGATCGTTGGTTTTTTTTGTCAAAGCATATGAACCTCAGAATTTCTGTAAATTTATCTCTGCTCATTGTGTTAGCGAATAAAGCGGGTCCCCATTTTTTTTACCATAAAGTTTTCAATGATCTCGCTTCATATGCGCCCCGAGCATATAGAATTCCTAGAAAACTACATAACTTAGCAACTGTGATTGTCCAGTCTTTTTTCAAAACTCGATGTGCTTCCGTTTCAGTGCAATCTTTTATGTGTTTTATTTGTATGTTTATTTATTATTATATGTCTGTCAATTATTAATTCGAAAGCACTAGTTACACAACCCAATATAGTATTTTTCTTGGCGTAGCCAGTAGGCCCTGCAATATCCTTGAATATCATACGAACGGGCGCCCTACCCACAGATCCGCCTGCTTTCAGTTTTATCCACTGTGTCAACTGCAATTTCAATGTCACTCATTACATTTTGGGATGTGCTTGGAATCCTCGTCCTCTCATCCTCTGAATCAGAACTAGAAAGAATACACATCCTTTTCTTGTTACGGCACACTTTCAAGAAGTTTTCCTCTTCAATATCCGAAAATCCTTCTATCTCTCCACTTTCAATATATTTAGAACTTTAACTCTCATTTTCGCTTTGGTCTAATTCATACTGATCTTCTTCGAAGGTATCCTCAGAATAATCTTCATTGATATTGACAATTTTGTTCAATATTTTATTATATCTCCTTGATTTACTCATGATAGAAAAGAAGGAGGATTGGTCAAAATAAAAAAATATTGTGCCCTAATTCACTTACCCTATTGTAAATACAATAAACAGAGACTGTCTACAATAAATGAAAATTTTACACATTGTCTTTGAAAAACGTTCTTACTCGGTCACTAAACAATTATACTGAACATCGCTTCTTGTTTTAGAGGTTTCTTCGGCGATAAGATCAGCGATTTCAGACAAAAAGACAAAGATGAAGACAAAGACTAAAACTCAGGCCATACTCATACATAATCGGCTTTTCACTTTTATTAACTAGCCCGTCAATTTGACGGGTTTCATAGAGATAGGTATACTACACACAAATTTCAAAATTTAGAAGGCTTAGGAAAAAAATAATTGTGTGTATAAATTCTTTGGATGAAAAATGGTTCAAATTACGATGCAAAATGGTTAAAATTAATGCTATAGTTTTTTAGGTATTTCATTTAAAAGTTTGAAATCCGTTAAATTGACGGGTCCCGTAAATCTAGTGTTAAGGGTGTTCACTATCCTTTTTTAATGATTTACACCATCGATGAGAACAAATATAATTCTTGACTGATTTTAATGAACAAGGTCTCATTTTAAAAAAGAAGGTTTACTTTACGACGCTGTTTACCCTGAATTTTGAAGAAGTATTATTTTCTTTAAAAAAAAAATCATGTTAAAAAATGGTATTTTTTCTAGAATAGTTTATGCACAAATAAAAAGCTTTCTTGAAATTCAGGAAATATAGCACTGTAGATTAAACCTTCCCTTTTAAAATAAGATTGTTCACCAAAATTGGTTTATAATTACTTCTGTTCTCATTGATGACAATATGTCATAGCACATTGTGTCATGTAGCACATTGGCAAGCAATTATTAGATTCGTAATTCAGGAAACTTTAGGTTTCGAAGCTGAATGATTCCAGTGGTTTTTTTATTGTATCGATGTAAACGAAAATAATGAATTAATTTACTTTTTTTTTTTTTATTTAATAATTTAGTAAGGTTGTTACTATTCAATTTCTTATATTTATTTTCCCCACTGATGGCTGACGTGAATTTTGCAATAATCTGTGCTAGATAGGATACAGCAGCAATATAATTTTATTTGATGACAAATGCATATAAAGTTTATACATTTGTTGATTATTTTTTTCAAAATAAATAATTAGTGAACATATATATTGTATATTATTTTTAATAAAGATCAAAACATAAGTTCCGCATTATCTACGAGATTTTTCTTCTAATGCTATTTTTTTATGGTTTCCTCTGTAATAGTTCATTTCATATTATTACTATATTCATATTATTATATTATCATATTATTATATTCATATTATTATTATAGTAATAGTAATAGTAATATGTAATGTAATAATATAGTAATGAAAACAGTAATAAGAAAAAACAGAAAAATATACTTATATTGTACGTCATGACATATGATGACGGTAATTTATGATAAAAAAAGAAGAAAAAATGTATCATTCTATGTCATGGTTTGACACACGAATTCTCAACAAATCCTTGATAATTTCGACACATGGCCGCTCATCGATGGATATGTTTAACATAAAGGACATGAAAAAAAGTACCAAACGTTTCTTTTTATTCTCGTCCGCTATCGTTTCTCCTTGTCTTACTACCTTATGATCGTTATGGATTTGTTTCCACACTATTTCTTAGTCATGATCAGTCGAAGCTAATTGTCTTCACTATTATAATATACAATAAAATAATATACGTATAATTAAATAATATCTAGATGTATATAAATAATATTTAAGTACATTTTTATTATTATATTATATTATATATTATTATTATTATTATCAGTAGTAGTGGTAATAGTCGAAGTAATATACTAGTGGACGAAGTAATATACAGTTCTACAGGAGAAGCCACGTAAAAAAAGCGCTAGGAGTTCTACTTCATAGGTAATATGTTAATGAACTCGTGTTTTAATTTGTAAATTAAAATAATATTATATATATTATATTATATATATGTATTCACTAATTATTTTTAAGAAAATATTCGGCAAGTTTTTATTTTTTGTTGCAGATTTATATATTAATTCTTATATGTGTTAATTATATTTATTATTTTCTATGCATTTATTGTAAAAATTATGCTTATCGACGTCGTATATAGCACGAATCGCTGCGAGACGTATGTTACAAGAGAGGAAGATATACATATGAGAGAATGAAAAGTGAGTTTACAGTCTACTAAACTACTTATTCTACTCAATAATATTGGAATAACCAACGAGTTTATACACTGATACGATAGAAGCATGGTGGGGACAGCATTTTCCATTTGTATTCATAGTTTATATTTGGTCGTACCTATCGCTGAAGTCATACATGCTTTGAACAAAAGATAGTGAACAACCTTTAAGAACTCTCGATATAAATGTCGATACTTAAGTTTTCCATTCATTGAAGGCCTAATAGATGGAGCTGTGTTGCAACCTCTTTCAGCCGCTCGATTTATGGTAAGAATGTGTCTAGTCGAACGATTAAAAATTATCCAAGAAATCCTATAATTATAACATATGTATGTTCCAATTATTAACTAAATATTCTACCTTTTGTATCCCTTTTTTATAATTTGAGATATATTTTTTTGTTCTGAAGCAATTTTCTTCAAATTTTGAAAAAATTGTAAGAAAGTCTTGCCAGAATGTTTTTGACGTTTTGTCTTACGCTATTTATTTAATTATTTTGATTATAATTTGAATGCTCAAAGTTTTTTTCTACAATATAAAAATTTATTTTAAAAGTTTATTATAAATACAACGTAGATAAGCCTAACCTAAAATTACCTTAGGTAACATATTTTATAAACTGTGATTATAATGTGTAAAGGTTTTCTATGTTCCCATAGATGTCGGATACAAAGAAAAAGTCACCGGAAAAAGCTGCGCCAGCAGTTATTTCGGACAAAAAGGAAGGCAAGAAGAAATCTAGGAAGCCAAGAAATTATGATCTTGGAAATGGTGTTTACAGATTTAGTCGTTCACGCATGTATCACAAGAAAGCTATTTACAAATTTTTAGATAAAAAGACACCTAAAATCGTAAGTAATATAGTAATATATAAATATTTTATTTATAAAATATTGAAAAGAATATATAAAAATTTTATTATATAGATAAAACTTAAAAAACCATTGACGGGTGAAAAAGAAATAGGCGGTGATAAGAATGGAGAGAAACGAATTGTTCTGTTGAAAAAGAGGAGAGCATATTATCCTACAGCAGATCCTATTACAAAACGACATGCCAAGAAGTGCTTCCGTGAACATCATCGATACTTAAGGCCTTCTTTAGTTCCAGGAACTATTTGCATTTTGTTAGCTGGATTACACAAAGGAAAGCGTGTTGTCTTTTTGAAACAGCTGAAAACTGGATTATTATTAGTTACAGGTTGGTTTTAATATTATGTTTTTGTTAATTCTATCCATAACAATGTATATATATAATCATATATATATATTTTTTATTATTATTATTACATTAATTTTATTTATTCTTTAATTAATTTTATTATTCCTACAAGACTCAATAAATATAAATATTTATGTTTTAGGTCCATTTCTCATTAATGGTTGTCCACTGCGTAGAATAAATCAGAATTATATCATAGCGACTTCTACACGCATTGATCTTTCTGGATTTAAATTGCCAGAACACATAAACGATGAATATTTCAAAAGGAAACGTGACAAACGTGCAAAGAAAGAAGAGGGTGATATTTTTAGTAAAAAGAAGGAAGAATACAAGCCAAGCAATCAAAGAAAAGCTGATCAAAAGGCAGTGGATAAACATATAATAGAAGCGATCAAAATAAATCAAGACAAGAAATTATTGTTCACTTATATGTCAGCTATGTTTGGTTTGCGAAGCAGTCAGTATCCACACAGATTAAAATTCTAATATACAGTTACAATTAACTTGTATGTGTGACTTTTTGAATAAAAATAAAAAATAACTATCTTTTATACGTTTTATAATTAATTATGAATCCATTTATCTGTAAAATGTACGTATACGAGATGTTTTAGTGTCCGATAAAAAAACTATTACAAAAAATTTTGTTATGTTTTATTCTTATATATTCAACGAAAAATATTTAATTCTTAGAAAAACTCTAACGAAAAAGTATAATGAAATAAAAGAGAAAGTATTCTGTTAAATAATTTTTAAGTAAAGAATTTATCAAATTTAAGTTTTCATTCGTCAATGATATTGTTTTTCTTAGGATATAATACGGTACTTATATATTTCCCTCTCTCCTGCTCTTCCCCTACTCATAATTTCGTAATTGCTCATAATTCGATCTGACGTCGCGCAAGTGACATATATAATAGCTGGTGAGTGTATTGAGCATCAACGATCATCAACAAATATCGACAAGCACTTGACTGATACAGACAACTCCATAAGTTATATACCGTGATAGTGACATCGACTTGCTTTACGATAAAGTGCCAAGAAAGGTGTGTAAGTCACGCGCGTGATATATGTGACATAGTGCTAAATGTCTTCCAGAGCTGATGAACACGCTGCTAATTATCAACGTTTTAATAATGACACAAATCAATCTTTGGAACAAGACATTTCCCATGGATCTACCCAAAGTGAGTCATCCTATAAGTGATCTTACTTAAAAATCCTTTCGTATTTAATCGATATTAACGGTAATAAAATCTTGAAAAATTAAACGATTACGAACTCTCGTTACATTTTTAAAGCAACCTTTACGCGTTACATATATACGCACGAATATACAAATTGTTATATTTTTTCTTCGTTTTCTTTTTTTTTTACATAAAAAGTAAAATGTAAGAATGTGATGATAAGGTTCAATTTCATTTGACGCTAAAATATTTCATAAATTTCATAATTTATAATTATTTTCATAATTTATGATTATTTAGAAAAAATAGATTATTTAGAAAAAATAGTATATATAATTAAAATTTGTCTTTTTACAATATAGATGTTTTTCTAACAAACTTTCCAATCAAACTTAATCAATTATGACGAATGCTATATGTTGATAATATCAATTTTATACAGATACCTTTATTTACTTTTAACTTCTTATAGAATATGGATCTATGTTATCTTCCCCAGAAAGTCATGTGAGAGTATCCTTCAATGAAACTGGAAATTCTAATAAAATAAATTATAAATTATATGTTGATGGAATGGATCATTCTAATGTTCCTGAGGATACTACTATTATTTCCCAAGGAGAACCATTGGACATTGATATGCACTGGGAAATGAATTATCATGAAGCTGCTATTTTTTTAGAAGTATTAGTATTTTGAATATCAGGATTTAATTTCACTAAATAATAATTTCTTTAATATATAAAAAAATAATATTTTTAGTTCAAACTAATCTTTAATATAATAGTTTATATAATTTATACAAATTTTCATTAAAATGTAAATATATTATTGAAATCTTGTAATCTAAATATCTTATTTAGTAAATTGTATAAATTTATGTTTGTAGGAAGGACGAAATAATGAAAAATTTGATTCACATCCTAGACATCCAGAGGATTTACCAGCATATCTTTTAGTTCATAATAAGTGGTATTATGGATTAGATTTATTAACATCTCTTATTCTATTAGCTTTAGCATTTGTTGAAGAACCAGCTGTATCGTTATTCCAAGTAAGTTATGAAAAGTAATAATAAAAGCATCATTTTACTTTTATCCAACAAGAGAATAATAATAAATAAATACTTTTAGATGCCTGTGTGGGCTCATAGTACAATAGAACTCTTTGCTTTAATTACTATTGGTATAGAATTAGCTTTGAAACTTAGATGGATCGGATGGGGAACTATGCTAAAACATAAACGTACAATGATAAAGGTAAGAAATACAATATTTTTTTACAATTTATATTTAGATTATTTTATATTATAAATTAAAAAGTATTTGCAATAAAAAAGCTTTTATCTCTGATAATAATTCTTGTCAAAAATATAAGAGTAAAAACAAAGATAAGGAAAGGCAGCTGCAAACTAATATCAAGTATTAAATTTTTTAATGATTACAATGGTAATAATGAAATAATGTATACTAACCGTTTGTTTCATATCAAGTAAAGTTCAATAGTATAATAATTCTAAGAAAAAATGAAACTGGAACATTTGAAATGGTAACACGTTATTACGATTGAAATATTATGAAAGATATTACATTAATAAAGTTTGTGCAATAATTTGATATATACATATGTACATTATTAGCATATAGATTAATTTTCATTGTTATTATGCAACTTTATTAAAGCCTCAAACACTTAAGTCTTCTCTAATGGCTGATACATTAAATATTCTATTACACTATTTAAATGTGTGGTATAAATATGTATATTATTAGAGGAATCATAGGTTTTTTTTATGTGCCCATTATTTGTTTTAAAATATCATATTCTAATTTCTGTTTCAGTGTATTACTCTAGCTATTATGTTCCTAGAAGCAATGGTAGTTCTAGTGCGGCAGTCTTCTCATTTTAGAGTAACACGAGCTTTAAGACCCATTTTCTTAGTAGATACAAAATACTGTGGTGGTGTTAGAAGATTTATAAGACAGATATTATTAACATTACCACCAATTTTGGATATGTTAGGACTTCTTTTATTTTTCATATCTGTCTATACAGTATTGGGTTATTATATGTTTTCTGAAATGAATAGAAATTTTTCTACATTGGAAAATAGTTTCGTAAGCTTATTTGTTCTTCTCACCACAGCAAAGTAAGTAAAATGATACCTATCTAATATATTAAATATTTAATCTTACTGTATTGCTTTAAATATTATATAATTTAAATATTTAATTTATAATATATCAGAATTAATATATATTTTACATGTGTGACGATAATTATGGCATTAGACTAAATCATATATTTTTCATATTAAGATATTTAAATCTTTATAAATAAAAAATATTTTCCGAAATATTTATTGTTATAATGTAAATCTTTTATTAATTATACTTTTTACAAGTATCTTGTAAAAATATGTTTTTTGATATTTCATATGACAGACTATTTTTAGAATTATTCAAATATCTTACAAATGACATTACAAAAAAACATTTCAGTTTTATTCATAAAAGGAAGTTTAAACAACAGTTTAATTATAATTATGTTAACTTAATTTAGGATAATACTAGAGATTTTTTCTTTAATAATTGTATTTTCTTTTTGTGATATTTTGAAAATACATAAATATTCATGAAAAATTAATGAAAAATATGGTAACAAATTCATTATGTTTTTTCTCTTTTTTCTTTTTCTTTTTTTTATAATTAACCCATATTAGAATAATATAGAATTAATTAGTAAAAAATTAAATAGGCGTTCATGGTTCACATAGCCGTTAATTAAATTTCAATTCAAATGGTTAAAAATTTCGTATAAAAATAAAATATTAAGATTCTCCGTATTAATTATACAAAATTCTTTTAGTTTTTAGAAAATGGGATTTCCCGTACTAACAAAGCAAGGTTATTCATACATTTTTATGTAGAATTTTTTGACAATTAACTTTTTTTTCTTTATTAATAACAATATAACTGTTGTTATATTGTTTAAAAGTATACTTGTTTAAAAGTTTTAAGCAAGTAGGTAGGCATTTTTCCAGAAAAATGAAGTATACTGAAAAATAATTCACCATCAAAATAAATAAAAACAGAATTATATTTACCAAATAAAGTTAAAGTAATTATATTTACCAAATTAAGTACATTTTTATCTATTTTTTTTTTTTTAATTATAGATTATTAAAATATAAATAATTGTAATATAAAATAAATCGTAAAGTAAATTCGTTCAATTTTTTGACAACCTACTGTCATAATTACCGGCACAGGTAATAAATTATTATTGTTTAATATTAATTAAAATTTTCAGCTTTCCAGACGTAATGATGCCATCTTATTCAAAAAATAAGTGGTATGCGATATATTTTGTATCATATTTATCTACCATGTTATATGTAATGATGAACTTAATGCTAGCAGTTGTAAATGAAACATTTACATCAGCAGAACGAGATAAATTTAAAAAATTATATTTACATAAAAGAAAGGCTTGTCAACATGCTTTTAAACTATTAGTTTCAAAGCAAAATCCAGATAAAATGAAATTTCGCCAATTTGAAGGCTTAATGAGATATTATGCACCACATAAATGTAAGTCTAAAAAAATGATACATCAATATTATATCATTGGTTTTATTATAATTGTTTATAGTCTTATTATTCTATATTTTTTTTTATTTCAATACTTTACAGCCACAAGAGATATTGTTTTAATGTTTCGTTACATGAATATCTCTGGAAGTGGTGCATTGAATTCTGAAGAATTTTTAGTAGTGTATGATGCCACAATGCTTCAATGGGAAGTAGAATACTCTAATATACCATGGTATCATACAGCATGGCAACCTTTACAAATATTGTGTGTTGGTGCTCATGCTGTTATTAGATGGTCATACTTTGAAAGTTTAGTATGTAAGTAGATAAATCAATAACGTTTGTAAACATGTGCATAAAGTAATATTTCATATAGTAGAAATATATATTATTCCTTTTTTATAGACATAATAATTATAGGAAATGGAATAGCAATGATAATTCGATTGATACAACCAAGTGAAAATCTTCAAATATCATCTCACAAATTTGCAGCTTGTTGGGATACTTTGCTTTTTGGAAGTTGTAAGTTTAATAATGGAAAACGTATTGAATACTATTTCTTTTCTGATTCTAAATTACTATTCTTTATTGTTTTATGAATATAATTAATAACTACAGAATAATTTACAGTGTTTGTATCAGAAGCATTAGCAAAAATATTGGGCCTTGGGATAAAACGTTATCTTAGTTCTGGATGGAATCTTTTTGATTTAGGAGCTTCAATTATGACTCTAGTTGCCGCGTGTGGACTTATTTTATTTCCAAATACTACGTTCTTAGTATTGTTCAGACCTTTGAGGCTTCTAAGACTTTTCAAGATAAAAAAGCGTTATCGAGATGTGTTCGGTACGCTTGTTATATTGTTTCCCCTAATGTGTTCCACTGCTATTGTTATGCTCGTTTTATACTATTTCTTTGCTATCATTGGAATGGAATTATTTGCTGGATATGATATGAGAAATTGTTGCAAGTACGTATAACACGAAGTTATTATCTTTTTAAAAATATGTACTTTATGATAAGTATGCATCGTTATTGTCGCTATGTTTGAACTATGTATATTTGATTTTATTAGGAATACAACTGTAGAGGATTTTTATAAATATTCTGCTAATGAAAGTACAGCATTAGGATATTATTATCTCAATACGTTTGATAATTTAATAGCAAGTAGTGTGACACTTTTTGAATTGACTGTTGTTAACAATTGGTTCATATTAATGAATGCATATGCTTTTACCGTTGGTATGTATACCCGGTCATACTTTATGACATTTTACTTGATAACCATGATCGTCCTTACAATCGTGGTATCCAGTTTCTTAGAAGCATTTAGATTTAGGATACAGTATAAAAGATCAACATCAAAACACGATGGTAAGTTATACAGCGATGTAATATTGACTCTCAAAATTATGCAATGTATATGCATTATCGTTTATTATTTTTCTGTAGAAGAAAAAATGTTACACGAGGAAGTAGAATTAAGATGGAATGAATTACAGTGTATAATAGAAGATGTTCAATTTCTCGAGGATTTACGATCTTCATTAGTTATTGGCGTAAGTATTGTGCAATCTTTCAAATTTAATTTCCAGTTTGTTATTTCAAATGCATATTATCATTAAATAATATCTGGTTTCCTTACACAGGGCACTACTCTTTTTATTGGCTCGCGACCTCGTACCAGAGAAGTTTTACAACGAAAAATGTATACGAATGAAATAACCGAATGGATCACAGAAGCTAAATTGGAAGAACGCCAAAATGATATTACTGTAATAAATAATTACACAGATAACAGAGAAAGTAACGATATTCTTGATTCTGAACTTGTTTTACATCGAAGATCGCGATCTCCACAACGTAACGGTGTATGCACCTAACAATATTTAGTAATAATTATTCAATTGTACAAATTAAATTCGTCGAGAATTTTCATCACTTAATTCAATTTTTAATATCATCTCAAACAATATAATATCTTCTTTATTTAGAAAGTTTGTTGCAGTTAAAATAAGAAGAATTACTACATCTGTTCTTATATTTCTATTTTAAAGAAACACTTTTTAAGAAAAAAAGTATAATTTATCATTGATATTATCGATTTATCATAAACATAAGAAAACAATGTGATTTTATTAATGCTGGCATTAATATAATACTTGCATTTTTCTGACATTATTTCGTATTTTATATAAAATAGGAAATACTTTATTTGGATATGTTATAATTTTATAGTATATTTAGAATTCAAATTTTAAACATATTTTGCTCATTTCTTCATTTTTATTTATAATAATTTATTTTCTCTTCAGATTTATTTAATTTATGTATCATAAATTATTCTTTCATTGTATACTTTTTCATACCCATTACTAACAATATATTATTTTACTATTATGTTATAACCAATATTCTTAATTTTATGTAACACTGTATATTAATCTACATATTTATAAGTAGTTTGCACATAAATATACATGTGATATAAAATAATATTTTAATTTCGATTATATATTTCTTTAATGAAGTGCAAATTAAATGAAAACAAACACCAGCTTGTATGTAATTATTTGAAATTGTACAAATTAGAAAATGAAAATTAAACAAAATATTGTTATTACTTTTTTATTTTATGCATTGTTTATTAATAATTAGTAATAATTATACATATATGTATTATTATATAATTCTGTTATTTTTATGCGAATACTGGCATTTATTTCTTATGTATTCAATCAATCTGTATACTTTTTAATATTACCACCACAAGAATAAAATATACCATATTTTATCTATAAATTTAAAAAATCGATAAATATTTGTGAATCATACTTTTTCGATTATAAAATACATCACAATAAGTAAACATTTGCCTTATAAGAACCATTACATTGCTCTTAATGTTGTTATATGTATTTAAGATACATAAATATATTCCAAAAATAATAAGTAAATCTGTCATCCATATTTATAAATGTATAAATTTTAAGCTGCTGAATATAATAAATAAATATAATATAGATAACACAAAACAAAATTGTTTATTTATTGATATTCATAAAATAATCATAAAAATAGTAACTTATTCATCTATTGAAACACCAGCACCACCTAAGCTCGTCAATGTAACACAATAACCATCTGCAATTAATTTTCGTGAAATACTTGATATGATTTCAGGTTGCGTATCTGGTGGTAATAAAACAAAAGCATGTCCTCCGCCGCCGGCACCTGTTAACTTAGCACCAAATCCATAATTTTGAGCTTCTGCGCATATTCTATCTAATGATGAATGAGATGTTTGCAATGCTGCTAATAAACTTTGATTTATATTGATAAGCATCTGGAAATTAAAAAAAAAAATGAATTTATGTTTTATTCCAACAGAGCATTTATATCATTTTCTTACTATTAATTGATTGTATTCTTCATACTCTTCGCATTTTCTTTTACTATTATTCTGAATTTGATTTGTATCTTGTTTAAGAATTTTCAGTGCTTCTTTTGATATGTTGTCTATAGAATCCATGATAGAATCAATAACAGTAGGATACATACATTTCAATTTCGTTGATTTATCTATTATTGTTTTAGTGCTTCTTTGAACTCTAGTATCTACTAATAAAATTTTCATTCTCTTTACATTAAGTATTGAGTTCATACAATTATTTTTTCTAAATTCTATTATTGATCCATAAGTGCAAATGGAATTATCGATTCCAGATGGTGTACCATGCAAAATCTTTTCACATTCAAATGCATATTTTGATATCAGTTTCAAATCGTTTATATCTAAAGTTTTATAGATATTCTTTTGCAAACGTGACCAATGAAGAAAACAAGCCGACAAACAAACTGCAAATGAAGCTGAACTTCCAAGTCCAGCGCCAATTGATAATTCTGTATTCAAATTTATTTCTGCAGGTTTTACATTAATTTCTTCTTTATTGGATACATATATGAGCAAATAAAAAAATGCTTCTAAACTTAATTTTTGATGTGGATTATTATATCCAATATCGTGTACGAATTGTTGAATATGATCATAAAAATTGTCATGATTATTTTCTAATTGATGAGATTTATAAATAGAAATATATGTTTGTATACGTTGAATTGGTACATTCACAACCAAATTTATGTTATGAAAGTTTAATTTCATAATTTTCTCTACTTCTTGTAGTTCTTGAAATTTTAAATTTGTACGTAAATCTAAACTAGCTGCTAAGGCAGTCTTTCCATACATTACAGCATGTTCTCCAAACAAAATAACTTTTCCTGGTGCAGATACCTTAAATGAGATCATTTCTATATAAAAATTTTTACTAGATAACGTAGTTTATGTTACAGTATCATTAAGTCTTGATACATAACAGTAACAATTAAGCAACAATTGAAAATTTATTTTTAAGAAATAGCTTCTTCTCTAAACGATTGAATAAAAAACTGCTATGGCAATTTTTAAATTAAATTAAGTTTGTTGTTTCTTCCACTGTTCTGATGTTAGAGTTTTTTGTGAAAATGCATGGATTGTTTTCAATTCTTCTTCTAGAGCTGAATTTACCAACCTATATAATTTAAAAATAATATTATATACATATATAAACATCACATATATAAATATCACAAATCAAATTACATTGCACATTTTTATGTGCGATTAAAAAGAAAAAAAAACAAAAAAAAAACAAAAAAATACTACCTATGTCGTTGTAATAAAGTTTTGCCTTCAAATACATTAGAAACGACAACCACAGAAAACTTAGCACCACAACCATCAGATTGATCGGTTACCTCCTGAAAGAAAGAAAATATTAATGGTTAGACTAAGATAAATAAAAACTGTTTAAAATATAATGATAATACCTATGAACACATGTAAATACATTGCAGTAAAACAATCATACTGAAGATTTAACTTTGAAAATTACTTTTATATACCACTTGCAATAACTATATAAAATTATTCATGTACAACTGAACTCTGGAACTAGAACTTCAAATCTAGAACCAAAGCTACTTTTATATTCATTATTCAAACACAAGTTGGATAACAGATCAAAGTTCACTGAAGCTTATGTATATGAATAGAATATTCAAAATATAAAAATATATTTTATACTACCATAAATGACATTTTATTAAAATTTTAATGCATGGTACATATTTATAAGTACGTTAAACATCGTTATTCCTTTAATTGTATAATCTTCAATAAATTAAATATAAATATTAATATTTATTTTGTTCAATTATAATCGATATAGATATAAAATATGAAAACGGTGCAAGATTTCTTTTATTATATTTCTTTTAAACTGCATATTTATTTCTTTGTATTGACAAATTACAATTTAACTATTTATACAATATCATTTTTATATCACATAGAAAATATTAAATAAAAAAAAATAAGATACATTATATTGAAAAACATGATTCAATGTATTTTTAATTTGATTGCAGAATTATTATCTGTAAGTATAAATTGTTTATAACAGAAATACAAAAAGAAAAGAAAGAAATGAATGCATGAATATACAGATATCAATAATGCAAACAGATCTGGATATTTCTTAGGTGGCTTTAAATAACGAATAAAAAAGGATAAAATTAATATTCCTAGTAAAGAACTGTAAAATAAAATTTTTATAATGAAATTATATCCATAATAATACTTTAAGTTAGATATGAAATTGAAAAAGAATTTACTGCACTTGGCTTTATAGTTTGATGTCTTCTGATTATTTGGTTTTGCTTTACACAATTTTCTTTCACATTTATCACATTCATTTGTATAGACAAATAGATCTGACCATATCCAAGTGATAAAAATAAAATAAAATATTATTGTTACAAAGTAAGCAAGATATAAATTATCTTTTACATACAATGGTAACATACTAAAATGAGAAATTAATAATAACCAAAAACATGCTAAAGGTTCATTATGAAAATGAAGTAATACTGGAATTGCTACCAAAAGAATAGACTTTTCATGAACTTGAAAAGAAAACAAAAAAAATGCTAAGGCTGAATTTATGAGAGAAATTATAAATTTTTCTTTTCTCGGAAATATATATAAATTAATACAAATCGGTAGAATAGCAATTGTTGTTATTATCAAACAGATTTGCGCTAATTGCTCATTTGTAAAAGTATTACGTAATTTATAAAGAACATTAATTGTACACCATACATTAGCAACTTTATCTTCGAATACACCTCTGTTAAATGGGAATAATCGTAAAATCGTATGTAAAAAAGTGTTCCAATCTATAAGGAAAGGTAACCAAATAATAGTAAATGTTATTACAGTTATTAATGAGACACAAATTAGTATATAGACCGATAAAAACAAAGATTTAGTCTTACTAATTCTACACTTTCCAAGTATATAGAAGAAAAAGGGCAAAGAATGATATAATTCCATTTGCTTATAATTTAATGCTAATACAAATAAAAATGAACTCTTAATAAAAGAATCATTCAAAATAGCAGTTACAGCAGCTACAAAAAATCCTAACGATATACAATTATATTGAAAATGACCATGATCAATCATTATGATACCAGGATAAATTAATGTGCTTAAAAGAATAAAATCTTTTTTTTCAAAACTAAATAAGTTATTGTACTCTGTTTGAGTAGTTTTTTTTGTTTGCACACTCATAACATACCATATCATTGCTGGCAAAAAAATCATAGCATCTGAACAAAGAACAGTCATTCTCATGAAATATTTATGGTCTGGAGAAGATATTCCTCTAGATTTGTGTAATTTGACATACGATGGATTAGTCGCATTAGCGATATAACCTAATAAGAGACTATGATACGCAGTCAAGGGAGGATAGTCTAAGCCCCAATATTCAAGATCATTGTCCGTCATATTGACGTACCATTTTAGGATAGGCAAATTTAGAGTTATTTCTTGCCAATGTCGTTGAGCTTCATAATCTCCATACATAGGAGGTTTTTCTTGGCCACTGTACGAATGATAAGTAACGCACCATCTTAAAATGAGTGCAAAAATAAAGATGAGAACTACTTGCATAGATCCACGCAGCATTTTTTCAAAATTATCTTATATTGATGTATTAAATTAAGTACAATCGGTACTTTAATAGCGATATTATGTTCACACTGTAAATTTTGAGGTTATAGTACGTTGCAGACTTACGAGAAAAAGCGAATAGGATATGTTAATATTTTAATACATACCACGTGCGAAGCATTCAATTTTGTGATTAGTTTATTTTTTATATAATCCTCAGTATATGGCATTATATGTGTTCAGAGAATATCGAAGTCTATGCTATCAATATTCACACATAACATCAAGTCTTCGTAATTTTCCACTATATATACGCGCAATATGCGAGCCTGCATAGTAAAAATGGATAAAATGGCGATGTCTGCAGCTTCAACCTCAAACGAAGTTTGTTTATAAGGTTATATTTAATTATAAGGTTACATGTGTTTGTTTAAAGATTATGTTCTATTTTCTACTGTTTCTTTTACTTTTCGTAAATATTCCATTCATAATAATAATCCAAACTCTAAATCCTTATTGAAAATATCGTATTTGATTTAATATTTGGTATAATCGTTAACAGATTTGTTTTTTTAATTTGATTAATTGATCGGTCAGAATTCGTCTGTTGCAATCGATTTAGAATTGTAAGAAGAAAAGTGAACGATTTACCTTGGAATGATGAACGATCTGTGATGTCAATAAAAATCGATAAAGTTGAATATAAAGAAGTAAAAGCCAATGTGTTGTAAAACTTGCGAATATAAGTCAGATTTGCCACGTCAATAATCGAATTATGAGCATCGAAAATTAAAAAAATAAAGAATTGCCACGTCAATAATCGAAACTCGTGAGGCTATTGAACGTTCATAGAAAAACTGATAATAAAAAGAGTGTACATCCACTTTTGTTTTTACATGTACTTTCTTCACATGATTTTGATTTAACTTGTTAAATAAAAAATTTAATTTTGTGTTTCACACGATTCGTTCTAATTTAACACGATCGATCCAAATTTTAAGAAAAACAATGTTTTCGTATTATAATGATTACGGCATTCGTACTATTCTCTTTCATTGTTTTTGGTTCTAATTAGAATTAGTCAATATAATTGATATACGTAAAAAATGTGTTTATTGTCAGAAAGTAACAACGAAATCTTGTTATATATAATTCATATTATTTTACCTAATTTTTGTGTTTATGAATTACTAACATGTTATTTTTCTTTTCAAATGATTATTTATCTTATAATATATTTATATATATATGTATAATCTTTATGAAATAAAAAGTGCAAGCACGTAAAAATAATACAATTTTAATATGATTTTTCAGAAGGTTTGTTGTATTATTTTGCTAATTTTTGAGATCTAGAACCAATCTTCTATTTTCAATAAATACACTATATTTTTTTATATGAATTTTTTTACACGTATTCTTTGGTAACGTATCTATCACGTAAAAACAGAATTGGATGTATTTTTATCTATAGATATTTTTTTTGTTTTTGAATTTATCGATAATTTTGAACGGTTTAAGAAATTCAAGATGGCTTATCTATAACATTGGTTGTATTCCGTAGAAATTAGATATAATCAATGATGTGGATCAATCAATCGATGAGTAACGCTTTTATGAATTTTGACAAGTTTGTTTTTAATTACTTTGATCTTACGTGCATATAAAAAAAAATAATAAAAACAAACGATCGGACTCTAATGATCTTGAAAAAAATACTGTCTGCGATATATTGCTCCACTGTTGCCAACAGTACGTCGAATGTATTAAAATTCGGTTAAATTGATTAATCTTAAGCTTTGCCCAAAGGATATAAATATAGCAAAATGATAGTTAAAGACTATCAAGAGATATAGCTCTAAAGAAAGGACTCACCTGCATCAAGTTCATTTTCCAAGTAACCGCCAACATCTAATGAGGATATCGAAGTTGTCTCTTATAACAAGGAAGAGTAGTAATCCTTCTAGACTAAATGCCAATATTCAATAAGAATGCTAGTTGGGATTGTGTCTAAAAATCAAGCTTCTATTAAAGTAAATATAGTTAAAGTAATTTCGGAATCGTTGAAAATAATATAATTAAATATAAAGTTATTCCGTGAATATTTAGTTCATCATAGCACGAAAACGTATGTAGTTCCTAAATAACATAATATTTTCAAAAATACCTACTATAGGTTGTTCCTAATGTAAACAATAACTGACATTGAATTGTAAAAGTTTATACATATGCAAACAATTTTTCTTCTTATTTTTTATATGTATTTCATGTTTTTCAAAGTTATTGAGGTCCAATTGCCCATTTTTATTATTTTTCTCGTTATATACATATCACAACAAAGTAATTAAAAATAGTCTCGTTAAAATCCATGACAGCGTCGCACATCAACAAATTCATCACGATGTGTTTCATTTTGTTTTCTTATAATAGCAATAAATAGGTAAATCATGTACGTTTATGCGTATATTAAGCGAGTTATCTTGCAAAAATGTGGATATATAGATTATGAAATACGAAGATATTTTTTTGACCATTGCCTTTTTGAATTACTCATTTAAACATCTTAAGCAGTATAAAGAATTCTCTATTTCATTTTTCACGTGTTTTATAACGTATGAAATTAATAGGAAGATTAATTTTTTTTTCGTCGCAATGAGATATGTCTCTCGTATCTAATAGAAAAGAATTGCTATATATGCACAAAAAAGCTTCGTTTTCTTAATAAGTATGATATAATCAACATTTCCATACATTTCTTTGCCTTTCAATGTATAATTATTGTAGGTATATACCCCTATTAGTGTTTTACGCGCGCGAAAAAGTTTTTATATAGATTATACTATTATAAATATCGTTTTATCAATACATATAGATTCACATATATGGATAGAATTGTAATGAGTGATTATTTTAAGAACTTTATCGATGTACGCACGAATCAGAAGCATCTAATTCTGTAATTAATTCTTGAACGCATAATGAGAATTATTTATTGCTCATTAATTATAAACGTATATTTAATGGGGTTTTTAAATTATCCTCTTTCTTGACTTTAATAACTCTAATTTCTATATTGGTTTTTCTAGGCAGTATCAAAATGTATCAGCGAAAGTTTATCATCTACAAAACTTAATGCGATTAACTTTGTTGAGTGTAACGTATTTGGCAACAAATGTTACGATGTTTACGCCTTACGGTATAATAAATAACTACGAGGATCATCACCGTCGTTAATTAATAAATCCGTACTTATATAAAATCAATTACATCTTACAATTAACATATAGATCCATAAAAATATTTGCGATTCTCGGAAATTGCTTTATTGCAATTAAACTTTCAAATTGTCGAATTTAACGCCTTCGTTTTAAATATTTCGATGGATAATAACGATATAGATACATATATACCAAACTCTAACGTGATCGAATAATAACCGATTATCGAATGCTATAAATATTAATTACAAATTGCGTTAACATTTAATAAAAAGGAAAGTAGATAAATATTTCGGCGATAACTTTAAATTGTTTTAAAAATTATTTTAAAAATTTTTTCATTTGCTTCGTCTGATGTTGCATACTGTATTGAGCATTTTCGGCTTTCGTGATCAGAGAATCTAATTTGCCCAAATGCGATCCCATTTTTTCATTAATGTCAATCTTCTTTGACGGTATCGTAATGATCTCGCTACTTTCTTCGGAGATTATTGGATTTTTCGAGTTCTCCGATAAATCGACCGTCATGCTTTCTTCTTCTGCAGTTATCATTACTTGCCCTTCTTTTGCTCTATTACGTTCCATTGATTTGTGATTCGGTGTGCCACCACGTGATCCTACCTTCACTTTGAGTAATGTACCCAGACTGCCGCAAACAGTCTACACAATTTCCATAAAGAAATATAGCTATAATTTTATATTCCTTCTAGATCCTCAATCAAATTCTATTTGGAGAGAATAGTTTTGAAGATATTTTTACCTTAAATCTATTAATCTTTTTTTGAGTTGTACTAAGGATGCTATTTAATTCGTCTAATCCACCGCTAACTCGTTGCACTGTCTCGTCCGATTTGTCTAAATTCTATAATATAAAATGGCTATACAATTATAGCAACTTTTTAAAGTTTATTTTTAACAAAGTGAAAGGAAAATTTCAATCGTTCTCTAAGACTTATATTCATGTAGGATTTATAATTAATAGTGATAGGTTAAGAATGAAAATAAATATGGAAAATTATTAGAAAAAGACACAGTGTACCTGAAGGATCGCATCGTCATCATCGTGATCGGCACGATCAGCCTCCTGTGCTTTTTGACTTTCAGTCCATTCCTCGAAACTGGGAACAGGCAAACCGAGTAATTCTGCTCTCTCACAAGCATAATTGTAATCTTCGGACATTATACAAATTGTCACGTAACTACCTTATGAATCTTTAACTACATACAATATATATATATATATATATATATATATATATATATATATATATATTTTGATGAGTTAATCAATTAACTATCAATACTGATAAAACATTTAGATGCGATGATGATGATATCTTATTGTTCACAATGAAATTTTAAACATTGATTTCTGTAAAAGTTCTATTACGGCACCATTGATACTTTTATTTTTTGTAAACTTGAAATGAATTATCTTCTTGTAATTCACCTTCTACGTACGTACAAATACGTATATCAACGATATGGGATTGCTCAATATTTCAGCTTATTTGAATAAAATGATTTGAGTCAGATTTTAGGGGTAAGGTTAAAATCACTGTCACGTTGCTGGAAGACTTGCCCACTTCTGGAATCCATATTGAGATGAATTCTGCGCAAACTCGAAGAGAAGTATCAATGAAGGGCAATGGCATTGCTTCACGTTCCAGCTTTGTCGAGTTAAATTCGATTTTTAAGCTTTTTAGAAGCTTTTAGAATGAGATAAAAAGTTGTTAAATTGCGAATTTAGAATGTCATTAGGAATGACTAAAAAAAATAATACGTAACAAGTACGATCATGCATAAAATTATTACGTCAGAGAGAGGTTTAATCGAGATAAAATATAAAGGGATAGAATCGGTAGAGTCGATATAATGTTGAGCATCTTGCGATTATAGAAATTTTGCGGTGATAATGCGGCGAATGATATTATGAAGCAAAAATTCGACCCAACGAATAAATAAGGGAAAATATAAAAATAACTCGGTCGTACGGTATCAAATCAGTTGGACTCCTGGCATGGAAATGTGAATATTTTGTGCCAGTAATTCCCAACCTTTTTTAAATAATATCTTTTCGTTTTGTAAAACAAATTTATAATATTGTATATTACTAAAAACATATATTTTTACAATTTTTGCTAGTATATCATTGTTATTAAAGGAATTAAGAATAAAATGAAAGAAAAATATATTTATTAAAAAAATTTCAACTTCTACTTCAATTTAATAAAATATTCAATATATTTTTAAAAATATGAAGTTCATTAGGTGCAATATTTCTACTCATAATTGTTGTTTGATCAATAACATGGACCATTGATATTGAGATCACATTGAGTGGTTTGGAAACTACTGTTTTATGCGATTTTTTATTCTGCATGGGTAAAAACGAAAAGTATATTTTAATGAAAAATCTAACGAATAGAGGCACACATGACTCTTGTCCATGAACTTGGATATACTTCAATTAGAGAATCATAGTATCTCGAAAAGTGGAAAAGCTTTAAATTAACATAAACCATAGCTATTACAATAGTATATGTGCCGACTTTCAATATAAATGCAGCCAACCTGTGTGACGTCCGTTTAACAGTTTTCTTTCTTGATGTCACACCATATTAAATTTCCAACATCGGCAAAATACTGATAAAGAAATCATCATTATGTCGTCATTTTCTTGACAACGTCTCGCAGTCTTTAACGACTTAATACTTCAGTGACGTATCGCAATATCCATGCAAATTTCTACGAGATGCGAGGTTGGAAATATTTCTGTGCGCATTTTGTCTATTGTTGTTGATGCGAGCTACAATACGTTTTCTTTTTTTAACTTTGCAAAAAAAACCAAGACAATGGGAATGCTATTCACATCCTATTTTTTTTCTTGAGATATTCCATTCGCATATTATTATGATCGCGACAACCTTGATAACACATTTTTTCAGCATAAACAAATTCTGATAATAATAGTCGGAATAAACTATTAAGAATAATACGGGTCTGAAGTTTTCTTAAAACTTTTAAATATTTTTTTGCCAAACGTTTACTTTCATAAAGTATGATAAAATCTCGATAAAAAAAATATACGTACACAGACATTTTTCGGTTGACATGATTTGACATCATGCTTATAAAAAAACTCATCTTATCGCGAGAAATCTTTACAGTACTTCCAAAGTTAATCTGCAATTCGTATCGAGCTGGATAAGACACTTAAAAGTCGCGCGTAAGGATTTTTGAGCTTTCGGGAGTCTTCGTAAGAAGCGACCAATCAACGAATGGCTCTTGATTTCTTTCGGCCGAGTTCGTGGGAGAACGCGGTCAGGCTTTCCCCTTTCGCTGTTGACGACGCGAGTGGACGCAAGACGCCAACAACGCTGTCGTATGCTATCGTATTTCAGTTCGGTCGGCGACGTACTGCTCGCAGTATCGGAACATTTAGTGTATTCTTTCTTCCGCTTTTATTATCTTTTTCTTCCACTCTTGTATCTCGTGCTGCAGTGTACTTATATGCATGCTGTTACAGGCAGCCGGGTACGAGACATTCTGTGTCGCATGTGTATGTGTACGCGCGTATATGTACGTCTCTGTTTCCTTCGTCTTTTTCGTACATGCACTCACGTACACGAACTATTCCCTTCTATTATATCGTTGTCTCTTCATCGAGAAATCAAAATATCACGCGTATACCGACAGAAAATGTGCAAGATTAGTGGTACATAGAAGAGAAAAAGAAGATAAAAGTAATCGAAAGAAAAGAAGAAAAAAAACGACGTTCATCGAGCAATTTTAAGCAAACGCTATTTTGACAGCAGAAACAGGGCAACAGCTCAGACGGTTTCCCAGCGTCTTTCCCTTTCTCGTCCTGCCGGTTGAAGCTTCCTCGTCGTTTCTTCTGTCCCTCTTTTTCTTCCGAACATTTACGAGCGAGAGAAAAGATCAATTGCTTCCAGCACCCTTTTTCAACGTTCTTAACGAGCAGAAAATCATATTTTATACGCATTGGTGAGTTTTTTATTCTCTTTATATATATATATATATATCTTTTACAAATTTAAGGAAGAAAGAGAGAGTAGGTTGTTCTAAAATCATGAGAATTCGATTTTCATCAAAGAATTAAAATCTGAAATCTCGTTGCATTTATTTTTATATCATAATCTTTTAAGGTTAAGTATCTCTTTTTGTGGCGGTGTAATCTCATCGGCCAATCAAATGCATCGTAAGAATTTTAATAGGGAAAAATAAAATAGACGAATTGGAGGATGTTGTAAAGTTGTAAGATTTACTCAATCGATCATATTTATTTTTATTGAATTAAATTTTTATTGAATTTGAAAGCTCGTTCTATTTTCAGTTTGCATTCACCGGAGTACTTTTTGAAGTGTCGTATCGTAACGGTATGGAAAAATCCACGCATCCCCGTTATTCTGTTTCCTTGTCGCGTCGTGTTTATATGTTATGTGTATGTGTGATCGCGTTTATGGGGTTATATGGGTTTGCCGACGTTCATTCAAAAAAAAGAATTACATTATAATATAGATAATTGTATTCTGTATTTTCGAGCAAAAAATTTTTTCATGATTTTTGTTCAGAAACATCCGACCGATCAGCTGATGCAATACTAAGGAAGATCAAGATCGTATTTTTTCATTTTTTCTTCTATTTCTTTAATCAATTTATCGCATAACTCTGATTCGTTACTCGGGGATTGTACTGTGATCGAGATCGTGTCGCGTCGAATCGTCTCGCGTAGAAATTCCTCGCTCGTTTACTTCCGCTTCAAAGAAAGTCTTCTTTGGCAATAATAACATATCGATGCGAAATTTCATTTGTAAGCGATTTTTCTCCATAATTGAGTCGATAAAATGACTTCGTTTTGTGCATTAATCAAAAACATAAATAAAGCGTTATTTTATTATATTATTATATTTTATTATTTTATTATATAATATTTCAAGTATAGAATATGGATTGAAAAGAACATTAAAGTTTGGTAAGTGTCTTTTCACTTAAAATCAAGAACACGATGAATAAAAAAGACTGGTCGGAACTTTTGCAAAGTATGCTATGCCTAGGAGGTCAATGGTTTAATGATTTTTCATACGCGATGCGTGGGTACGTAAAGCAATATTAGAAAGAAAAAAAGAAGAAAGAAAAATAACGAATTATTTGTTGTTTCTTTCAAAAGTTTTAGATCACAGAGCTCTTTCTTATTACGTCAAACTCGTGTACGTACACATATTATATATATACGTAAATCGAATTTCCGTTTCAATCAATATGCAGGATGATTTGGTGTAGAATATTCGAGAAATACAAGAAATATAAATACAATACATATGTAAATATAGAAACATCTAATGCGGTCTGCGCTATAGTATTTTTACTAGAAAATAATTCGTAATAAAAATGCAGTGTAGTCGAAAAAGAAATATCGTTATGTCTCTTCTGACGTCAATACTTAAAAATGATATTTGATACACTCATTGTTCTGAACTGTATAAAAAACTGTTAAGACTCCCTCGCTCTCTCTTTTGCTTGTCTATATGACTAGTCGATGATCTATCGTTTGACTATGCATATATGTAGGTACTTCTAAATAAAAAAAGTAATATTTCACTTCTATAATTGAAGCCGTTTTTATTACTGACTTTCCATTTGAAGAATACTAAATGAAATTATTAATAGAATCTGAAAAAAGGAGAAAGGGGATTGGAAAGAAGAGGGGAGGGAGGGAGAGAGAGAGAGAGAAAGAATCATTATTTGGATGAATTGACTCTATAGGATAGAAATGAATATCGGATGATGTATCTTACGATCGTTCATTGAACTATCTTATCTCTTCGAAATAATTTCATTTAATCGAGAGAAACATTTATCTTTTTAGAAATAGATTTCGCGATGCTGATCGTGAAATGGATAAGTTCTCTTCTCCTTTTTCTTCCATATAACCAAATAAGTTTTTCGAAAATAATCATAATCGTCATTTCGAAGTTTACTTTTGATTAGACTGTTTGCGTGAATGAGTAAATATTATTTTCATATATAATGTTTGTTTCCATTAGACCTAATCTAAATATTTCTCGTGAATCTAAAAAAAAAATACTGACGACTGTTCCTTTTTTCTCATTGTGGCGAAAGAAAAGTTGCCACGAAGACGTTCGACTTTCTCGCATGTATCGAACTCCGCTTCTGGCGTTGTCGTGAGTATTAATGGATGATAAGAATCTGACAACGGGTCAAAAGTGATTCTCATTCGCCTCAATATATTTCTTTTTATGCTACTTGATGCGATCTATTCTAGAGCAGAAGAAACTCAAGGGATATTACAATTGCGATTATGATACTGAAATTATGAGCTCAAGGCCGAACAGAAGAAATTTCATTTCCTTTTTAATAAAATTTTCGATAAGAGCAATGTCAAGAATATTCGAAGAAAACATTTTTTCCTTGTTATTTCCCTGATTAGATTGCTTCATCGAAACGGGAACATGAAGACTTAAAGGAAAAACAACGATTTTTTAAAGAAACGCCATCGATTGTTTTTACCAAGTTGAAGGTCGTTTCGACTTTTATA